TATGTCAACTTTTTCAGTTTTTTTATGCTTTCTGACTGAAATACAGTCAGGTAGGACAAAAAAAATCATCCGAGCTGTAAAGGGCGCTATCTGTCACCTCTAGGTTAATACGCTGTTCCTGTTAGTCAATGAAAATGCAATTTTTTGACGAATACAAATGCTTTTTGTTCTCCGTTTCACTCAAAAAATTTAATTTTAGCAGGGACCATTTTTGACAGCTGTTATTGGCAGGTAGTTTCTTTAAATGGTCGCGAGTTGGGGGTTGACGGAAAACGTCGAAAGGAAAAATGTCGAAAAGGAAAATGTCGAAAGCGGATAATGGAAGAAGGAAAGTACCAAAACGAAAACGCCGAAAAGAACGAGATTTCTTTCTGTTCCTTTGAAAATCACTGAGCGTGGGATGAGGTGAGGGTGAGGCGTTCATCGTAGCAGCCATACTGAACTTCATCATACTTTACTTTTTCGACGAGTGGCTATAATTACTACGAGGTTGGAGATGTCTGACGAGAACCAATAGTACTTCTAATGATAATAATACGTATATCTCATTCAGTGATTTTCAAGGAACAGAAAGAAATCTCCTCCTTTTCGGCGTTTTCCTTTCAATACTTTCCTTCTTCCATTATCCGCTTTCGACGTTTGCCTTTTCGGCATTTTGTTCTTCTACATTTTCCTCTTCGACGTTTTGCTATTTTTTTATCGACATTTTCCTTTTCCACATTTTTCCTTTCGATATTTTCCACCAAGACCGCGAGCTGCAGCAGTCAAGCGCAAAACTCGACAATTAACGCATATGTTTCGTTTTTGGAAACTGAGGATGGGACAGTACTATTACTATCTTGTTCTTATTGTTCCTAATAACTGATGATTCGTACCGCGTTCATTACACCGATAAATCAACTTTTCGGCATTTTAGTTATAGAAGAGTCTCGGTTACTAGAAAGGAGAACTAGAACTGTCTTACTTCCCTAAGCAACTTGGAGTAGACGAATTTTTAAGTAAAATTGTACGTCTGTTTCTTGTTGACTTTCTTTTGTTCTCTGTTGTAAAATACATTGCAATATATACGAGTATTCTCTCTGTTGAACTGTTTTTATGCAATGTTGAATTCTAATACGAAGATAAACCAGTCAGTTTTATTCGATCGCTTTTTTCTTCAATCCATCCATGTAATTCTGTTCTAGAAATGTCTGAAGCAAAGCTAATGCGCTATTGGTTGGGGTAAAGGTGTAACATCGAATGATCCAAAAGAAACAGTAGTAATTCAGCTTTGTCATCAAGGTGAGTTTTGTGTTGATATTGTAAACGATTACAGTCTATCGGCTGACCATAAAACAAAATGGAAGATAGGATGAATCGCGGCAAGTTCATGTGCTTTTGACACAAATTGTATTTTATCATAACTAAGTTATGGCAGAAATGCCAGGTCATCGGGGCGAGCTGTTTTAGTTCGTACAAATAGTAAACTACCTAGTCACTATGTTATAATTGATTTATTGATTTCGTCCATTCTGGAAGTAATAGAACGAAAAAGAAAAGGAAAACCAATTGTTGGTTGGACCAGCCTTATTGCAAGACAATGGTCAAATTCAATAAACCAATTATAACGTAGTGAATAGATAATTTAGTGTTTGTACGTACTAAAACGGTTCGTCCCAATGAGCTGGGATTTTTACCATAACTTAGTTATAATAAAATAAAATTTCTGTAAAAAGCACGTGAACTTCTGATTCGAAAAATCCCTGCATATGCTGAATTTCTGTAACTCAAGAACGAAGCGTTTTTCCCATCGTTGGCCGATAGACGGTTATGCAAAATACTGTTGCAACAAGTTGCGAATAAAATCACGTGTATCAACCGCGTGTATGAGGTTTCATAGCGTTTGTGTTGATATATATAATGACAACGATAATAGTGAAAATGAAGAATTGATGACAACAAGCTTCTTTAACAAACAGTAATAATAACCAGTCGCTAACATTCTGTATACAATAGCAGAATGTTGTTCTGATTTTGTTTCATATTGTTGCTCACTTGTACTAGATTCATCAGATGTGTAAACAATGAAAGAAGTAGTTCCAAATTTCCTGTGATTTGAGGTGTGCTTTTGCTTTTTGTACTTTTTGAACACATTTTTATTACACGAAAACATACTCATTGCGTTATAACAATGTCGAATTGTCGAATTTATAATGCGAAATATGAAAGGCTGATTAGAATTAAACAGACTTTACAATCAATATGACACACTACGTTTAATATCAAATAGAATGGTACATGTGCACCGCTTGATGTAATGGAGTTTAAGTTGCTATCGATTTCAGTAGTATATTAAAGAAGCTATTAGATACAGAAAGAAGTTTTTTCGTGCAGCTCTCGGAAAAAATTTGTTATACGAACCTGAGATTTGTATGTCTGGAGACGCTAGCTGTTCCCCAAAGTAGTGAGAATCTTTCTTTATTCCCTATCGCACTAACGTTCAAAGAGTTTTTTTTGAGAAAAACTAGTGATTTTTTGAAACAAAGTGGCTTCAGCGTTACTTGTTATTGCATTCATTAGTTGATAATGGTGGGATGTATACGGGTCAATCATCACAGTCATTTTCTCACAAAGTTACTTTTAGATGGTCTGAAAAAGAACGTTCCGTCACGAATCGGTATTGTGACGAGTCGGTCTCATAAGAGATGTTCTAGTATTGAACGTCTCTGCAACGAGCAACAGCCTGTCTGGATCAAAGCTTTAACAGCAAGTATAACAGAAAAACTTATAGGAGTAAGAATTGTGGAAAAAAATGCGAAAAGGTCTTGTTTGACTAGCAAATACGATGTAGAAACGGTTATTTAAAAGTTGTTTTTCTTTTCATACATCTAAACTTATATAATACTTATTCCAGGATACACTGGCAAATTAATGTTTCATCTTTTTTGACAAGTCTCCACATGTTCTTCTATAGGTCAAAGATTTTTGTCTTCCTTCCTTTTCTATTTATGCACTTTGTACCTTTCATTTACTGACGAAATCATATTTTTTTAAATAAAGAGAAAGCCACATCAAGATGAATGTGCTGCTCAAGTTTTGATTTAAAAGTTGCGGCTTCATGAATAGTAATAATTCAACTGTTTTAAGATCAATATATTAGTAATTTTATGATCATGTGAACCCGAATTGCACAACCGTCATTCTTCTATTGTTGCGATAAAAAATTATTCTTTTGAAGTGTTATTCATAATAAATTTGGCGTGAGCAATTTGATGAATGTATTACTAAATAAAGTGAAATCAATGTACTTATTTATCTTCGAAGTTATACGTTTGAATTCAGTTATTAGTTGTTGTCGATTAAAGGTCATCGAGTACAATGTAAAGAATTTTCAAAATTCTCGTCTAATAACGTGACAAAATTATAGTGGAAGGGATAGAATTAATTAGAAGGTATTAGTTTTTGATATGATGAGTTCTTTGTTTTTACCAGACATGCTTTTTCTTTCACGTTATTATATAGAAAGCCTTTCTCACACGTGAGTTATTTTTATTCCCTCATCAGTCTTTCTTCTTTGCATTTAAATGAGTACACCTTGATACTTTTTTTTCCATAACTTTGTCTGGAAGAAAGTAACTTTTTACTTGTTAATTCCAGTGAGGTGAGTTTTACATTATAGACAGAAAAGACGAAACAGGTATCTCCCCGAGTTGACAAGCTTTGATAAAGCTTCAATGGAAAAACTCTCTAGAAAAAATGAAAACTTCTTTAGAACCCGTTTTGATTAGAACGCCCCAGAACGCCACTCAGAGTTGGGAGAATGTAGCGTAAACGTTAGAAATTTTTCTTTTATGCTTATCGAGTAAGACTACCTGTGCATTAGTAAATATAATTAGATCTATGCTCTCTTTTTAAGCAGTATAATGTGCTTTATAGCATAATTTATGTTAATCTTCGCCATTGTTTGGTATTTGTGCTAGAAAACACAAGTTTCACTAATTAAATCTAAATCTTTATGGTCAATAGAATATGCTGGAATTATTTGTTTTTCTACTCTACTATTCTCGTTTATTGATCTTAAAAAAAAAGAAAACTACCATTGTTTTCATCTCATGCCTCTTTTGCTGAAGGGATGAAAAGCGTTTTTATAATTCAAAAGAAAGAATTTCTTTTCCTCTTTTTTTTTCCATCATATATATTTAATATTGATATATACTTAATGCAAGAAAAAAAGAGATCCTTGAAATATAAAGATTAGAGAGAAACAAGAAAAAATGATGAGAGTTGTATAAGTTTGTTCATAATTGCTGTTTTACGCTTTTATTCTTGTATCTTGTTAGTCATCGTAAATAGCATACAGAAACAGCTTGCTCTATTTGTTTACCGAATGATGTAATATAATAGCCGAATAAACCTAGATCATATTTATTCAGCAGAGTTCTGAGTAAACCAGTTTGAGATTGTGTTCTTTTTTGTTTTTGCGCTGTTGTTTTTTTTTGAAATTGCGTCGTGCAAAGAGATAATACAAAAGCGTGAAATATCGAAAAAAAAATGTGAGACATGATAAAAGGGCGAATGTTTTTGCTATCGAACTTGTTGACACATTTTGCACTTTTCTCAACAACCACTTCGTTTTGTTTTTTTACGTAAGACATAGCCAAACAGTTCATAGAGAAAGAAATTGCAGCGTCGATAGATAACGATGCTTCGAAACAGTTTTGATGCATATAGTAGTGAATTATTTCTGTCGAAACACTTTACTTTTGCGACGAAGAATATTTTTTGGAAATTTTTTGAAACTCCACATGCGAGTGAACATTTACTTCTTACAAAACATAACTTTGATTATGAGCAGGAGTGAGATCATTCTCGTGAGGCTTACATTTCACTTTCAAAGAAAGTATTTGTACATTGTGTGAAAGTTAATGGTGTGATGACACTTGAATTGTAGTCTTAGTTATTTTCTAGATAGAAAAGTAACATCATCAAAAGAAAGAAAGTATCTCTCTAATAACAGTAGAATGGGACTCGGGGGTAAAGCTGATGTTCAGACTGATAATGAAGCAACAGCAACAACAACGAATTCCGATGGAACCACAATATCTTGGGACGAAATCGAAAAACATACAGCAAAGAATGATCGATGGTTTGTTATCGATAATAAAGTTTACAATGTAACTAAATGGTTGAAACATCCGGGTGGACAAGCTGTGCTAAATCATTATGCTGGTCAAGATGCAACGGTAAATACTCAAATCTGCGTATTTTGAGTAAAGAAGTTCAAATAAATGTTATATTTTGTTTATTTTAGGAAGCTTTTCGCGCGTTTCACCGTGATATCCCTCGTGTACAAAAATATCTTAAACACTTATATGTCGGGGATGTTGAAAATACCACAGTCACAGGACACAACGATACTAGAAATAAGTTAGCACATAATATTGAAAATCTAAAACTAAAAGAAGATTTTGAAGAACTAAGACAAAAAGCACAAGAAATGGTAAGCAAAAAAATGTAATATTGTTATTAAAAGTCTTGATGAAGATTATACAACACGTAGACTGATTAATTGATCTCACAGGAAACTTTTGATGTATCATAATATTTTTTTTTTCTTTTTTTCTAGAAATTATTCACTTCTAGTCGATGTTTTTTTTTATTGAATTGTATTCACATTATAGTATTGGAAATACTTGCTTATTTTATTCTATATCGGTGGGGAACAGGGTGGATTCCATACACACTTTCACTTTTTGCATATGTCACAGCAGCAGTATGTATTTTGAATTATTGTTATGCACAAAATGTTTTGTATATGTATACATCTATTTAGGCTCAAACTGGTTGGCTACAACATGATTTTGGCCATTTATCTGTGTTTTCAACATCAAAATGGAATCATTTATTACATCAGTTTTACATCGGATTTGTTAAAGTAAAAATTTTTCAAATCTTTACTGTGGTATCTGCTACAATTCAGTTTTCTACCTTGAAGGGAGCCAGTGCAGATTGGTGGAATCACATGCATTACCAACACCATTGTAAACCTAATGTGGTATGTTTGCATAAAAAGAATTCTATGATTTTTTACATGAGTTAAATTATTGTTTTTATTTAGATTGACAAAGATCCCGATGTTCGAATCGAGTCAATGTTTTTAATTGGCAATGTTATGCCTTTACGAGTAAGCTGTAGATATAAATCATTTATAACAACATCCCTAATATTTATGATGAATGAGACAGAGCGAAGGAGACATTCTTGTTTCTCAAACACTAAAATAATGTTTGAAGACTCCGTTTGAGATTTAAAAAAAGTAAAGAATATTCTACAAAATCCTCTACATCTAATATTATAATATTGATTTCATTATTTTAAAAAATTTCGAGTAATCAGGAATAAATGTGTAGGATAACTGCGACGCGCAAAATCAAACGTATTTTTATTTTACAGTTTTTTAATCATCTTTTTCGGAATAGAGAAGAAAATTCTTCATCTTATCTGGCAAGGAGGTCTTGTAAATCTTTTAGCGAAACAGGTAGAAACGGCTTATGATTTTGGGATCATTAATGATAAAATGAAAGAAAAAAATTCTATTTTTCCATGAGGATTTAGTTAAATAAAGATGAGTTCTTTTGATGAAGTACCTTTAATGAGTAATAGAGTTATTATAAAGTAATCGGTTAGATCGAGTATAAAAAGATATAATCTGTTCCTTCATCGCAGTTATTCTTTGCATTTGTTCTTACTCTTCGCTATTTTTTCCAATAATGAAATAAATGTGTGAACGTGGAATGTTAAGATTTTGTAGGATAAAAAATTCGGTCTGCTCTCAGTTTAGTGTGTGAAACATGAAAGTGTCTCATTTTCTCTAGCCTATGCGTTATCAGTGACTTTGACTAGTAGACATCTCGGGCATAAGAAATACCAAAGTGTTATTGATTAGTGAGTATTCTTATGTTTATTTTCACAATTTCAAGACGTTGTGAATGATGGTAAATTAAGGTTAGCTGATCCCATTTAAACATAACTTCTGTGGGTCTCGTTGATTTTTCTGTTTATAATCTCCTTTTATTCTAGATCGCTAAAAAAAATGCCAAATACGGGAAAAAAATGCCATATAATTTCCAACAGTTTTATTTTTTCGTTGGTATATATTTTTTTTCTCAATTTTCCTTGATAAAAATCTCTAATTAATCTATTTCCATGTTTTTAGCTGCTCCACTATTGTTTCCACTCTATTTTCAATTTATGACTATTCGCCACGTTTTTGTACGACGAAAATGGACGGTACGTCATTCTTTCTGATTACACTTTTAAGATGAGAAGAATATATGACAAAGGTTACTTATTTCTAGGATTTATCCTGGATGGTATTATTTTATATTAAACTGTTTACATTGCTCACCTTAAAACTCGGATTTTTAAGCACAATCAAATATCTTTTTCTGTTACGGTAAGAGAATTCTAATCTTGAATGAAACATGGTCGGACACATTATTCATTTATCTTTAGTTTGTTTGAAAGTACGTGGTTTGCTTGGGTAGCTCAATCCAATCATGTTGTTATGGATATCCTTGAGGATAAATCTAATTTATCGTGGGTCCGAATGCAAGTAAGAAGAACGGATTAGTTAGAGTAGACAAAGATCTTTATTTCATTCAATATTTATTTTAGTTACAAGCTACTTGTAATATAGACAAATCGATTTTTAACGATTGGTTTACGGGTCATTTAAATTTTCAAATTGAACATCAGTATGTTGTATATTCGTCGTGTGTACAGATTTAAAATTAATTGCATTTTGTTCTTTAGTTTATTTCCAACGATGCCACGTCATAATCTTTATAAAATTCAACCTCTTGTTAAATCTTTGTGTGAGAAATATAATATTAAATATGTTTGTAAGCCAATGATGACAGCATTTATAGATATATTCCTGTAAGTTGATAGAATGATGAAACTCTTAGAAATATGCAGCGTAATAACTTGTAAAAAATACAAACACGAACATTAAAATCCTAATTGGTCATCAAAAAAAAGAAAAAAAAGAAAGACAAATTGAAAATCCGATTTATTATATAATCTCTCTTTTTACTTCTAGTTCATTAGAGAAATCTGGTCGATTATGGCATGAAAGTTATATGGAATTAGTCGAGGGATGCAATGAATAGAATCAAAATATTTTGTGCATTTTTTTTGATCTCCACTCAGTTCTTTTACACGTTTGTTCGTCGAAAGATTGTATTTAGCCTTCACCGAATGACTTTCTGTTTTGATATTATTCGTTTTGTTGTTGTCTTTATTTGTTCTTGATGTAATAAGTCATTCTCTACTTCAAATTACCGGTTAGCTATTTGTTACCAGCAATTTTTTGTCCTCTTTTATACCATACTATTTTCTGTCCATATCTGACCATGAGCTTATTAAAGTTTGTTTTTCCACCGCTTTTTTCAAGATCAAACTATTTTCTACTTAAGATTCTTTTACATTAATTCTTTTTTGCATTGGATAAGTGCTTTTGGGTAGTTAGTATATTTATATATGTGTTTGTTCCATTTTTCAAACAATTGGAGTAAAACAAAACGACAAGTGTATTTGGATCATTTGTTTGATATATTTATGTAAACAATGTATGTTATGTTATTTATGTATTTTTCTATAATTTTTGCGTTGAATACAAGACAATAAATACAACAATAGCAGAAAGATAGAGCATGTGTTGATTAATTATATTTGAGATACAGAGCAAATTCATGGATATTTTCGCACATTTTTAGAAGGTCTGTGAGCCAATGTGAAAAACATATAACATCAGCTATTGTGACACTCAGATGCGAATAATGAAGGAGATGCAGAAAAGCACGACCGTTTCTGCTTGAAGTGTCAAATGCTTGCCAGGTATTCACATGCAATTCATAAATAAGCAAGTTACATTCACGAGGGAAGTTACTAAAAACGACGTAATTAGTGACTTAGCACACCTAAACTATAGAATTGTGGTACCGATATGAAAGGAGAACTATCTGCTTATAACTTAAAATTTATAATCAAATATTTCTTCCATTAATGCTCGTTTAAATAAGAGATAATTTTTTATTCACCTCTAAAAATTTCGAAGCATATAGAGGAGAGAAAAGAAGCGAACAGGTTAGTATGAGACCTTTTGAACGAGTAGTTAACTCAGCCAGTCGCTAACATTCTGCGCATAATAACGAAGTGTTGTTCTGATTTTGTATCATGTTGTCTCTCACTTGTGCTAGATCCATCAAATATGTGTACAATGAAAGGAGTAGTTTCATTATGTATAAGCTGCTGCTCGACGGACTGAGTCACCCAAACCTATGACCTCTTCAGTCGGTAAGACTTTTTGGAAGAGAGAAATCATGTTAGATTTCAATCCTTGATTCTATCCTTCCTATCCTTCCGATCTTTTTCATTTTTTTTGTAATCTCTTATTTTTATGTATTATAGAAAATGGCGGATGATCAAAAACAACTATTTAAAATTGACACGCGTAAACGTATAGCACTTGTCGCTCACGATAATAAGAAAATAGAATTGATAGAATGGATAAAGCGAAATCGTGAAATATTGAAACAACACGATCTGTGTGCGACTGGGACTACAGGCAAACTAATTGAAAATGAACTCGGACTACCAGTTACAAAATATAAATCTGGACCACTAGGAGGTATAAAAATACCGAGTGTGCCATTATATAAATTTTTGAATTTCTTTTAACTTGCAATATACTTTTTTTTATTTACAGGTGATCAGCAATTGGGCGCAAAGATCGCTGAAGGTCTCATCGACATATTAATATTTATTTCTGATTCATTAGAACCACAACCACATGATAGTGATGTGAAAGCATTGCTGCGATTAGCGAATGTTTGGAATATTCCAACAGCTTGTAATTTAGCATCCGCTGATTTTATCTTGACATCACCGTATATGTCATCATCTTATACTCGTGTTGTTGACTCATTTGAAAATTACTTTAATCGTTCTATTGTCAAGAGACATTGATATACAACATAGCAGTTCTCAAGAACCTTATAACATTTATTTCCGCTATATAGGCCATATCGACGCCATTAAGAGTTAGTTTCTGATAGTTTTAGACATGTTAGCCAATGGCCCATTTCAAATTTGATTTCTGAATAAGTCATTTTGTTGATCACTAAGTTAATATGAACACCTGAGATATGGACGCTGCCTTTCCTTAAAAAGTTATATCAGTAATAAAATTTCGACTAAAAAACACTCAAAATATGCTTACTTTTCAACAAAAACCTTTCTCAACAATTCTTTGGTCTCTAAAGAAGCTTTTGGTATGAATAAAACAGAGGAGGCGGTGAATTACAAGTATTAGACACCACCAAGTTATGGCTGAAAAGCACTGCGAAAGTTCTGAATCTAAGTTAAGGACGCGAATTTTTCTTTAAAGAGTCAAATAAGAATTTTTTGAGTTTTGGTAAAAATATATTTTATATATTTGGGTATTTTCCGTAAAATCTGGATCGGAAGAAAAATTCACATCTTTAACTTAGATTAAGCACTCTCCCAGTGCTTTTCAACCAAATCTTGATGGTGTCTAATACTTGCAATTCATTACCTTCATACCAAAAGCTTCTTTAGAGATCAAGGGATTGTTGAGAAAGATTTTTGTCGCAAGTAAACATATTCTGAGTGTTTTTAGTCGTAATTTTATTACTGATATAACTTTTTAAGGAAAGAACTAGCAGCGTCCATATCTCAGGTTTTCATATTAACTTAATGATCAACAGAATTCAGGAGTCAAATATGTTTTCTACTTTACTATTAACATAAATAAAATTCGACTTTTCGAAGAGTAATTTACGCACCATCACTGGGAGTACAAATTGATGTATCGAGTGGTTTATACTACTAATCAGTAATGGAATCCCTTTTTTTGCTTATAATCTCATCACACTTAGCCATATAGTACTGGTATTGAAAACATTTTATGTTTTTTATTCAACTTGCATTCGAATGGTGAATGTAGATACAAACTATACATAAAAGTCTTACGGCATCTATACGATTTTTGACAACAGAAAATAAGCGCGATTACAAGGAAATAAACAGAGTTTCAATATCCTTCATAAATGCTAGAGTTAGCGTAGACTATTTTGTATAAAAAGTGGTCGAATTTTTAAAGATTGTTATCAAATTTTTTACTCGATAATTTTCTAACCATTCGTGAGAAATAACTGCTTTTGTTGCCGTTGTTAGAACTTACCCGTTGTTTCCTTTTGGCTCCAAATAGGAGCTCCAAGAAGAGAAACAGAACGCTACAATACCAGCAAAGATAAATAGTAGATCCTTTCAAAAAATGTCTTAATTTTGACCGGACGATATGAAATCAAAAGTTTTAAGAAGAATCTTTGCTTTGCTCTTATAATGTTTACAACTCATATTCGACTATATTCAAACTGTTACGGCAAGGAAGAGGAAACGGTGGATGTTCTGAAGCGAGTGTGAAATATGATGTATTGTATAGCTAGCACAGGGGAACCACATCATCAATATCAATTCAACACTATCAGATAAAACAGTTACTTGTTTCGTACAGATCTCCGTCTATTGTGGTTTTGGCGTAATTCGTCAAATCGTCTGCTGCGTGGCGCACGTCACGTACACGATTTGAATCCGACGTTATGGCACAAACGTAACGACTGTTTCTTTCGTGATCTTGATATTCGGCCCATTCGTCAGACAGGATCTGCCTGTGTATCGAGGACACTTGCAATGCTGACGGGAAAGGTACCTGAAGATTTTCAAGGCAAAATGAACACATAAGACCCGTCGTCGTGGTTACAAGTGCTATATCCATACGGAATGAAGCTAGCTTATTGTCCTTCAGACGTGCGCAAACTCAAGTTCTACAGGAATAAGCTTATTGCTATAGATGATCCCATTACTCTGAGCTATTACATATTCTCGGTGATCCAGACAGTGCAGGCTGGATAACTGGCTCCCATATTATCATTTTGCATCGGAATAAGATTATTGATCCGGCAACAGGAACAGCGACAACAGCACTCGAGCACTACTGCAACGGCCACCATACAAAGAGAATTTTTCGCGTAGTACCCTCGGATCACGTCTGTGGGCTCTAAGTAACCAAAACAAACCTGTGCTACACCTTTAAACAAGAAAAAAAATCATCTGTGTTAAAAGTTTTTTTTGCAACGTCATGAGCGATGACAAATAGTTAGCAAACTATTTGACGTTACTGTCCGTTTAAACAGAACTTAGAAACAGTAATGTTTCGTGCTGAAAACATTATTAGGAACATTTGTAAGTTAGGACTGTTCGCTGCCAAGAATTAGCTTCCATGTTTTTCGTTTGTTTTAGAAACCAATTGGATATAATTAAAATTGATATTGGTATTTATAGAACTCTGTTTCATTCTTTTCTCGTTCCTCAGTTAAAAATCTTTTTTCTCTCACTTTTTCTTCACATTAATATAATTTGTTTGTTCTGTATTTATTAAATATATAGCTTCTTTTTGTATTTATGTATAAACGGTTGTTTTTTGTTATCTTGTAAAGTAGAGAAAAGAAAGATGTTAAATTTTGTATATTGTGTAAATGTTCTTTTCTTGTTATTTATTGAGCTCAAAAGAAAAAAGATATTTTAGTCAGATGATTTTTGATAGAGCTATTTATTTAATAATTTATTTATTTGATCTCTTATTTATTAAAAAGCTTGTTTATTTAATCTCTGTTCTCTATAAATAATGTACCACTTCAAAAAGGCAACCATTAATAAAGTTTAGCTGCTCTCTTATTATATAAATTATGGAATACTTAGATACTAATATAGACAAGATATCCTTGAAGAGCTTCACTGGATAAACTGTTGTTTGAAAATCTTGTTTTTACGAGCAACATTAATCTGAAAAATTGAATTTCTCCGAAGACAAAAGGCTTCGATATAAACCACTAAACATCACACTGTTCCTCTGGAGGAACGCCGAATTTTAGGAATCTCAGCCGATTTTTATTCCTCATTTTAGATGTTTGTGAAAATTTTCAATGAAAATGTTGCTCAGTTATGTTCGATTATTTATTGTTTTTCTACATCGTAACCTTGTTCGTTATTCAATATTACAACAATATTTAATCTTGTCATTATTAACTCTTCTAATTTTATACCTACTTCGTTTATGGATTACTATTTTTCTACTATTACCAATAACAACATTCGTTACATATTATTTTACAAACAAACTCACTCAAACAGATAACAGTGATAATAAAAAGAATCAAAAACAACAGCACCACCAAAGATTATGGTCAACAAATTATTTATACGATTTTATTGTTCATGCGAGCATACCATTTATTCGTCGTACAACGTTTGCTACTGCTGAAAAGTTAACAACAGCAGTAAACACTAGAGATGAAAATGAACACATTGTAAGTTGTATTTTCGATGATGAAATGTTAATGGATTTCTACTCCTTTATTTCGTCATTTAGAATCTTGAGGAAAGTTTATCACCATCAACGATTTTGTCAATGAAATATTCTGTCAATTCCAATAATGACAAAGCAATTTATTATTTACTTCAAAAGGAATGTGATACTTATATTCGCACAATCATCGAAAGATACGTGAACGCCTGGTATTACCCATTAATCTCCACGGATCAAGAATTTCCACAAGGTTTACAAATTCTATTAAATATTCTGTTAAATCGCATATCGGATCGTCTCAAACAACTGAATTATTATCAGTTGACAACAAATTTATTCAGTCTTCAACAAATACATATGAATCAATATTTAGAAACGTTAGTATCATATCGTAAACTAATGAAAACAAATCGAACAACAACAAAGAATAGAACATTCATCAATGAATTTGGCGAACTTCATATTGCCATGAAAAATCAACAAATTTATTTAAAAGCAATTGTTGAATTATTATTTACTGAATATCTGCCTGAAACATTTTTGGCTTATTCAAGTTCAGCTTGTCGTGAATTTCTACAGCAAATTATTGTTAATTGTATTCTAATGCCCGTCATTGATACTATGTCGAAACCACAAAGATTATATGATTTTATTGTTTTACTTTGGGGTAAAGATATGCAGAAGGGCGATAATAAAGGCGAGCAAAATCAGAGAAAATCAGAGAACGCAGAAGAACATCTACTGTTAAAGAAAGATGCGGAGGACGATGAATATTCATCAACAAATGAATTATTTCAAAGTTTACCTTTATACCAAGATGATGATGCTAATAGGCTTATATCTGATGCGGTTACCGACGATAATTATACTCCGACAATTGATGATGCTCGACGACTATCAACATTGGAAAAGATTATTTATGCCGTGGAGATCATAGCAGCTGAAAAAGTCTATAATCCAATATCTGGTGCTGCTTTTACTGTGTATGTGATTCACGTAGGTAATTGAACACTTGTATTCAAAGGAATTTCATTTCTTGCTTTTTTTTTTTGTTCTTGTAGTGTGAAACAAAATCTCCATTTGGTGGTGCAACAATTCATAGTTATGCTGTTCGTCGTCGTTTTCGCGAATTTCTTAATCTTCAAAAACGATTATTAAATAATCCATTAACTGCTGGTCATGCACATGGTAATGATATACTTTTTCTTCCCTTGTCCGATGTGTTTATTCTATTTCTGTCCTTTTTTTAGTTTTACGTGGTCCGCAGAACAGTCTTTCATTATCAATGAGAAATATGAGTCCAGAACTGGTTCACAAACGAAAAATTCTGCTTGATCAATACTTAAAAGTAATTTGAAATCTTGCTTCGATGATAGATCTATTCATTCTTTCTATGTTTAGACAATTATTACAAATGAAATATTAAATTGTTCACATGATGTTTTGGAATTTTTTGCTTATAATTCTGATGTTAATGTATTGTATGATTCTCTTACAACTAATAAATTACCTGTACCTCGCGTTGATAAGGTAATATTTATGGATATGCTCTCTTCTGTTTTTTCTCTAATAACATGCGCATGTCTTCGTTCTAGGTATTATTTCGAACAATTTCTGGCATGTTTGATAAAATTCCTGGAAAACTTAATAATTTAATACCGAAAAAAGAACTGATACCAAAAGAAATATTTCAGTTAAATTTATCTATTGACTATACTTCTGTACGTAATTGATTAATTAGCTGGTACGAAAGTTTGAATTTTTTGACAAATTTTCTCCTTTACTTCTAGGTTTCACCAGTCATTCAACAATGTCAGTCATTTATTCGTCAGTATACACTTAAAAACTTATTTTATACTTCGCCGCTTAATACGTCAGATGAGCAATTACTTAAAACTTTGTTAACTAATATAGAATCAACCAGCTTGTCAATCAAAACAAAATATAAGACTGGCAAGTACATATCTTGTTTTTCCAATAAGCAAATAAGTCATTTGAGTGAAAAATACGTAAAACTTATATTGTAGAACAACCATTACCATTAACAAACTCTCTATTAAATTTACTCTATACAAGTTTACATTCACGTGAAGCATTTATTAGTCTTGAATCTGTACATACTACTATTTATATAGTTTTTGGTCGTTTTATAGAACGGTATGTTACTGTTTCTTTCTCGGGCTCGTTTGACTCTCTCTCTTTTTTTTAGATTTCTGACTGATTTAGTTGATGAATTAACATCTCAGGAATATGTTTTACTTTATTTGAAAAATTTACGTAGTGATGTATTATGGCCTGATAATGAGACAGATTCTTCATCCTCAACACAATCAAAAAATGGAAAACATACAGCTTATGATGTTTGTTTTAATAAAATTCCAGGTACGTATGAATGTTTTACATAATTCTCATTTTTATTTTCGTTAATCAGGCATATTTCAGGAGAGAAGAAGGATGTTTCATATGTCTGTGCTTGTATAACTCTCTGTTCCTTTCATTTTTCTAGGTTTCTTTCGTCAGATTATTGGTCCCGAACACATTCGTCGAATTATAATTAATTTTTTACAGTGTATGAGTTACGAAGAATTAAATCGGTAAGTGTACATTGTTTTCTCTTTCACGATGTTAGGATTCGATATTTAATGTTTTTTAGACATTTTGTTTATACATTATTGGATGCATTTATTGAAGAACTTTTACCAAATATTTCATCAAAAGATTTCGTATTGAAATATGTACAATTACATTCGTCATCATCCTCTTAATTTATTTTTCTTCAAAAAACATATTTTTAGTTTGTCTTCCATCTTTCTTCTGAGCATAACCAAATACTAGATATTTATTCAGTTGAACTTTTTAATTTTCGTAAATTTATTTTTTCGTTGTGTACCGGTGATTTTAAACGATAAAAAATGTGTTGCATTTAATTTTGTCTATCAGCGTGTATTTATTTATTAGCATTCCATTTTTTTGTAAATTCTATAATGTTTTTGATAATTATGTACTTGGCGAAATATATATTATTATTCTGGCTCCGAAATACTACTACTTTCTGGATGTTTCAAACAGGAGACACTTTCTCGGAAGACGGTTAAGTCAATTGGCATTTTGTAACAATAGAAACAAAAATGCGAAAGCCAAGGTATTTGGATTACTCTTGTCTTGAATAATCAATTAAACAACCTTTAATCCTCTTCTACAAAAATACACATGAGCCATCACATCAATATGTAAATGTGGTTGAAATTAATGTAATTAATCTATGTCCAAGATCTTTATACTTTGATACAAGATAAATGTGCAGGATATCTCTTCAATGGATTATGACGATGAATACGAGAACAAGAAAAAGAAAACTTAGATTATGGCAAGTAAAGAAGAAATAAAGATAAATAAATGTAAAATAATAATCGATATTTTATTTTTCAATTCATTTATTGTTATCGAATCATCATTAACTAGAACAGACGAACGTCTGCACGCATGTGTCCTGTAAAAATATGACAAATGTTCTTTTCTGGTTGTAGTTTTATATAATTCTCTTTAGTCACAAAACATCTGTTACAATATGTGTATTCTGGCATCATATATTTAAATCTTAACACTATATTACGACAAAAAAGATGGAAGAAGTCGTAGGAAATAGTTGTATCATGAAATCTTTTTTAGAGACTTTATTATTAAAACACTTGCATGTTTATTTTTGAACTGTTGTTTAATTATTGTTTTGTAATCTCCTTCAAGTGTATTTTCTCTCTTTTTTATATACATGTTACAGACACTATAGTCGTGATATTTAGAATTACATATAGAGCGACACGAACTAACAAAAGCAAATGAACAATAATGAATCAACAACAAGCTCTATATCATCATCATCTACCACCGCAACAATTGAATCAATAACAGCGACAGTAGCAAGTAATCAAGATAATTTATGAGCAGAAATAATAACCGATGATAATGATGTTGTAGTTAGACGACAACAATAACAACAACATCGTTAGCATCATCATAATTCTGGACGAAGAACGTACGTAAATACTTGTAGTTGTTTTGCCTTCTCTTTATTAACTACAGTATAGTATTGGAACGAAAATTATTTTTCCTTTTTGTTGTAATGAAGTGCCAACAAGAAAAAAAGACTGTGTTATCACAATAGGCACTATAACCTTTTAACCCTTTAAGTCCCATAGCTGATTATGCAAAGCTAATATGAAACTCGTATGTCTCTCTTTACGCTTGATGAAAAACTTTTTTCATATTAGCTAGCTTATAGTGTCAGCTTACGTTGGAACAAAATCCGTTTTTTTGATCCGATGTTTGATCCGTCATCTTGCTGTAGTGATTCTACGATATTCGTTAATGTCCATTCCAGTGGATACGGGGATTTAAAGAGTTAAATTATGTTAAGCCTTCCTTTTTGCTTAGAAACAGCCATCATCACAAGGTTGTCAGAAGAGAAATTTTCTGTGTATTCCTGCCTCTCTCACCAACACCTTATTACGGCGACAGACAGATATATAAAAAAAATAATTCAGTGGTATCTACCATTCGTTCCTTGAATATGTCTAGCATATGACGTTATGTGTGTTTTTCTATTTATAATTTTAATCTGTTGAGTTGGGTTACCCTCGTTTCGTCCCGTCTCATTTGGTCCCATACTTGTTTCGTCCTCTCTCGTTTCGTCCCGTTTATTTTCTATCATTCTGCTCATTTTATAACTATTCATTTTTTTCTATCACCTGTATACTAATCAATATTAATATAATTAATTAAGATAATGTAAGAAATTGATACATGACTTTATAAGTTACATTTATTATTTTATTTACGAGTTACAATGAAACAGGTAATATTACAGTATTAACACATGTGTCACATTTAATTGCAAGTTCAGTTCCAGACAAAGTACCATTTTCGTATCTTTTAAAATATTCCTTCAATTTCAATATTCAAATTCAATACACGTTATACATAATCTTTCACACAAATAGTCAAACGGGAGAAAGTCTACAACAAGTGGGATAAAAGGTTAAAAGATATGAAAATGGTACTTCGTCTGGAACTGAACTTGCAATTAAATGTGACAAATGTGTTAATACTGTAATATTACCTGTTTCATTGTAACTTGCTAAACTTTTGGAAGTACCCCTCGCCAAAATAGAAAATCTTCTTGGTTATCGAGTGTGCTGAATACGAAAAAGCACTTTTCAGAAACTCAAAAGCAGCTTTATTTTTTTCCGGTGATATGTTACTAGGGGTGGAAAAATTTCAGTTCAGTTCTTTTAAACGTGAATTGGTCTTTTGTTCTTTTCTAACGAACGCGTGCCACCAGTTATTCTAGAACGGGAATCATTAGCTATTGTTTGTTAGATAATTTTATTGCTCTATTTTCTGTTTTCTATTTGTTTGTTAGAAAAATTCATCGAAAAAGTTGATAGACTTCTTTTCGTATGACGTGCTGACTCATTCGGAAGAGAATTGTGACGGTTAGGTCTTTATCCATTGGAGAAAAGTCTTTCAGCTTCATATCAGCGAGAAGAGAGAGACTGAAAGGGTGACACACTCAAGCTGCAATCTTGTATAAAAGATGTCAAAACAACTTGTCAGATTGTCTTCTAATAGAAGTTCAAGAAGTAGTTGACGGTCGAGAATCTGCAACAAGTGTACAAAGGTCAAAGTACTGATAAAACTATTACTCATAGAGAATTTTACAATTTATCTTTCAAATACATTGTTTATTTTACACTCTTTGATGCTAATGCTAAACGATTTTTTCTAACAACGTAATTTGCAGTGCTAAACGATTGCTCACTAAGGATCGAGGTGGCAGGTATTACCATATATTTTCGACAAATCGGGGATCAGTGAATCATATTCTGATCAAAAACTCATGGAGTCATGATCATCTTTTGATACTAATTCCAATTTCGATAATTATTGTTGTAAATTGTAAACGACTTCTTTTTGGTATCACTCGAAGAAATTGTAGTTTGAATCCCACATTTGTTAAGAAATTTATGAAATTTTGGTGGTTGATCTAGTGTCATAAAAGCTCCAGTTGCATCATTCGGTGGTGTAGCACTGATTGAAGACCATGACGACATAAGTATGTTTTATAGTATATATATCTACGTAACAAGTTCCTTTGATTATCATTATCCTTAAATTATGCCATTATTGTAATACCTAACTAGCCCGCATATATGAAGCTGAAAGACTTTTCTCCAATGGATAAAGAACTAACAGTCACAATTCTCTTCCGAATGAGTCAGCATGTCATAGGAAAAGAAGCCCATCAACTTTTTCAATGAATTTTTCTAGAAATTATCTAACAAACAATAGCTAACAGTTTCCGTTCTAGAAGAACTGGTAGCAGTTCGCATTCACAAGAACGCGAACTATTACCAGTTCTTTCCGCCAATCCTTAGGAACTATAACTGTTCCATCCCTAATTTTCTTTTTTAACATTATTGATTGAGAGATTTAATACTCATTAAAGATCGACAATCGAATTTCTTTGTTTAATCCTCGTCTAATTACTTTGTAAAATAATTATATTTTCTTTTCTCTGTTTTTTATCGATAGTGCCATCATTTGATGTTCTTCTACATACTTTTTTCCCTTTTATTCTCTGGTTCAACAAAAGAAAGAGGAATGGAATATTGTTGTCACCGTAAAAAAAAAGAAGAAACAAACGGTAAATTTTCTTTTTTTCTTCTTTTTACAATCGAGTCATGTTTAAGTCTCTTTTTTACTCTTTGTGTTGAATGACGTGTTCATTCGACCGAATTGGTATCTAACAGAGAATGAATAAAGCGTATTTTACAAACATGTTAATAACACTGAACGATAGAATTAATGTAATAATAAGAATAATACATTTGTGAAGAAAACAATAAAATCAATTAGTGTAGTTTAGTGTTGAACATTATGAAAGAAACAAACAGAAAAATTGCGAAGTAAGAGATGTACTAGGGAAGAATAGTTTCTTTTGCTTTGTGTTGATCGTGTCTTCTAAAACTTATCTAATTTTCATTTTGTTTCTTTTCTCTCTTTTAGTATGTATAATCCAACGAAATCCGCCTCAACTCTATCATTGGCATCAAATGAATCTTGTTTTAGCAACGATTATTCATTAGATAGTGTTTGTTGTACAAAACGAACGTTACATACATTTTCACATATGTGGATTATTGAAAATTTCAGTACCTATCTTGAAGATCCTGAACCAATAATTTGTTTATCGTCGTCTCTATTTAGTCCCGTTAGTGGCCTGTCGGTTGCTACACAATGGCGTTTAGTTTGTTATCCAAAAGGAAACTATGGTGCATCATCAAATTATATGTCAATATTTTTGGAATATGTCAAAGGTGAAAAAGATGTTAAAGCAAAAGCTGAATATGCACTGGTTAATCGTAAATGTGAACTAACTGAAATACGTAAAGATGCACAATTTAGTGTCTATAAAAGTGGTAATACACGCGGGTTTATTAATTATATCAAATATGATACATTGACACTATTGGAAAATGATACATTAAATGATGATAAACTAAAAATCTATGTTCGTATCATAATCATGGATGATCACATTACGGAAGAAACAAAATATCAAGAATTTGATGAATGTAATGGCATCAATTTTACAACAAAAGGTCTGGAAGGATTGGTGAGGGATTTTTCACAATTGTTATCGAATACGTCAGATTTGAGTGATGTTAAAATAACTGTAAAACAATCATTACATCAGCCATCATTGAATGACAGTTTGTCATCAGACAATATGAATATTGAACAAACAGCTGATTATTCAAATCGGTTTAATACACGTATTGTACAATATAATGCACATAAATTAATTTTGGCTTGTCGTTCACCCGTTTTAGCTGCCATGTTCACTGGAAAAACATTAGAAAATAATACAAATACAATTGAAATTAATGATCTAAAACCAGAAACAATTAAATCAATGTTGGAATATATTTATACAGGAAAAGTAAACGATATTAAAAATTCAACAGTTGAGTTGTATCGTTGTGCTGATAAATATCAATTAGAAGATCTACGTCTACAAGCTGAAATGGCATTGATGAATTCAATTTCGATTGATTCAAGTGCCGAAATTCTATTATTGGCTGATCAACATCATTCAAAAGAACTAAAATTGAAAGTAATACAATTCATCGTTCAAAATTTAAAAGCTGTTACATCTACTGAAGGTTGGCATAAGTATGTGTCATGTGTACCAGATCTAGTAACGGAAGTTATTCAAGCAACAGCTCAGGAATAAGGTGCTAAGTAGTTTCGGATGCTTTTTTATTTTATTATTTTTTTTGCAATTTTCGGCTTTTTGTGAATGTCACGAAGAGCATGGATACTTGTACTTGTACTTTAGCAAGTACATTTCAAGTATTTTTTTGTTCCTTTTCAAAATTAGCTCTTCTAACTCTATACTTACGAGGGAACCTCGCCGAGTGTTCACCGCCGTTTGAGCTCATATTCTGCTAATCGATATGGCACATTGATATAATGAAAAAGGGTTCGGATCCATGTCGCTTCTTTCCCGAGTCTTCTATTTGATGAAATTCGAGTTTCTGTATTTCCGGTGTAATGCAAAAATCCGACGGTTGAAAAGCTGAAATTCACAGGAATGATAGTCCTAGGTATAGCCTCCAGACTGTAAAAATTTTAGACCTTAGGATCGAGACAAAGAATTTTCTGTTTTTCATAGGGTTTTACCACTGGCTTATAGTTTACCAAGGAACGAAAATCTAATCGTACAATCCAATAGTGCAAACATTTAAATAATATTCTAACAGGGATAATAAATGATTTTATTAAGTTATGGATGCGAAAGCAGACTTGATAACTAACAGAAATTTTTTCCGTTTGTAAGTCGTAAGTTAGTAGTGAAACCCTAAGAAAAAGAGAAAATTCGGTGTCTCCGGAAGAACGAGAGATTAAGGTCTGAAATTTTTACCGTCTAGAGGCTATACCTAGGACTATCATTTGTGTGAATTTCAGTTCTTCAAGCTGTCAGATTTTTGCATTACACCGGAAAACTCGAATTTCACCAAATAGAAGATGACTCGGAAAAGAAGCGACATAGGTCCGGATCCTTTTTCATTATATCAATGTACAATGTCGATCAGCAGAATATGAGCTCAAACGGCGTCGGACACTTGACGATGTTCCATCGTTACTTTCAAGATGATATATCAGTGACTTAACACGTGTTAAAGCATTATGTTACAAATTTTCCATAGATGTTGTTAAAAAACATATTTCTTCAATCGAATCGTACTCTTATTACCATGCAGTATAGCTAAGTCTGATATGTCTAGCATTATTAAATGTGTTTTTCCATTGTTTCATTTCTACATTTACGTTATTCATATTTATTGTACAGTTTTTTTATCTTTTATCACTCATATATATATATATTACTCTTTATGTTTCACAAAAGATATATAATCACACTTATTAAAGAAATTAAACTGTTGAGCACTATAATAAAAAAATAGTAAGGAAGTTTTGCACTTGATAGACTGTTGGAGGTCATAATGAAATCTTAAGAAATCATCCAAACAGTGCTGCAGAATTCTCTGTAACTTAATGCTAACTCAGACAACTGCATTAAAGTAGAGCAAAGGTACAAGACAGTAGACAAGAAGTAAAAGGCAAAAAATACTTGAAATACTTAAAATGTACTTAAAGTACAAGTACTTTTACTTTTACTTGTATATTTGTACTTGTCCATGCTCTGATGTCAACAGCACTTAAGAAGAAATACTTGAAGTAATAATGACTAAAAGCTCTTGGTACTAGTCCCTCTTGTCTATTTTTGTTTTGTCAAAATTTTTTTTCTCTGTACATATTTTATAAATATCTCTCTCATCTTATTTATTTTATTAATGTTATATCTGGACGCGGAATAAATACTTTAGTCTTGTGTTTGCCCATAAATATTGCATAAGAAATATAAAACTATCAAAATGTTTGGTTATGTGAGGATTAAATAAAATTCATGTTGTGGAATATTCAGATTAAAAATGATGAATAGATACACCTTTTTTTCGTTGTTGTTAACACCTTAAATAAATAAACACTATCTATGAATTTTTATCTATTAGTTTGGAAGAAAGGCACACTTCTCCCTATCGTTAAAATAATGTTCAAGGATTTATAGCGTCTATAAGTGATTAAATTTCTGCGTCAGCATACCATTAATCTCTTTTTATTTTATTTTCTGTACTCAACAAAAAAAAAAGAAGAAATCAACAAGGTGAAGTCGTTAATTAAATCATGATGATCATTTTTTGACATTGACGCCAGTTTTCTTTTTTTTGTTTGACCGCATTATAGATCAATCTCGTACTGTTTCGATTATTTCTTCAATGTGTCAAGTGAAGGATAAAAGTCTCAAGCCGTTCTAAATTAGAAATTTAACCTTGTTCATCTAGCAGTCAAATTCAACAGGTATTCCAGACAAAACAACAGCAGAAACTGTTGAAATGCAGCAAATGAAAAAACTGACATATGGTTCTGATGTTGAAATATTAGTTCTATCAAAAAAGTGAACTTTCGGTGATTTTGAATGGGCTGTTACAGAGAATGGTGATGATAAATGATGAAAGTGATAGACGGGAAGAAGAAAATGCGAAGAAATACCTTAAAGATATAAAAAACCGGTATTGGGTTGAAAAATGTCGTTGCTTTTCGTTCCATGTGAGTTTTCGGTACGGAGACAACTGTCTGTGAAGAAAAATTATTGCACTAAAAATTTTAAAAAAGTTGCAGAAATAAATATTATTTATTAGCAGTCAAGAACAAGATATGTTGTGCTCCAGCTGATACCATATGAATAATTCTTGTACACAATTGTTTTTCATCGATAATTCTTGGATTAAACACATCTTGATTACCATGTCCAGTTTGCAGATTATCACCCATTTCAAATGAATGTGCATTTTCATCTTGATCAATAGCAAATGATACGGCACCACAGTTAATGTCTCAAATATTTTTTAATGTTTCAATACGAATTCGTTTTGCCGTATTTGTTGCTTTTAGATTTGATACTCCTAATCTCCCATTATCTGTTCTACCAAGAGCAAAAACATTTCCATTATCCAAAATCAGTGTATGTTGTAAACCATGTTCAATTTTTCTCGATACCGCTTTGGAAATTAACTAGTACTTTAACTGATTCATAAATTAGCTTTTTATTTGCCGTTTCAATTTCTAATTGTCTAAAACTATTTGCTTCTGACACTATTACAAAATTTGAACAAAAAATTCATGTCGACTACACCAAATATTTTTTACGAATTTATTTTTAAATGTCGGGATTTTTTATGATTTTAACTATTTTTGAATAATGTCAGCTGATAGATGTCCAATTTGATCTCTTTCCCATTGTCCTGTTCCACCATTACTAAATGGTAGCACTTCACCTGAAAGGACGAGACGAAGAAAATAAATGTTCACAAGTGTCTATAATCTTATTAGTCTTACAATTTTCAGTCAATAATAAACAAAAATCAGCTTCACATCCAATTGATTTAATTTTCATATTCTTATCATCTAAAGGCAATTGAACAGGTAATTGTTTAACGTGTTTATATTTAATTAATCCCATAATGCCTTCAGTCAAACGAAAACATCCACAACTATAGGGCAGTACAGAATTTTCTCAGTCCAAATGTAAATGACTTATCGGCAGTAATTTGAATAATTTTACAAACAACATAATATTTTATATGCGAAATATTTTGCGCAAAATTCATATTCACATCACTTGTTATTGCCTCTAGGGCACAATCATCATTACAATCTCAACTAAAACTTTGCCACTTTTTGTTAATCCAACAGAATGCATTCCTCCGAATGATATTTGAACAAAACTGTTTAAGTCAATGGCCGAATTATCATTGAACTGTACCAACTATGGTTTCTTTTGTTCTGTAACATTGATTTTTAATCTCAATTGACCATTAATATTTTAGCCGCGTGCCAAAGTACAGTCAATAGATGGTAGTTGTTGTGGTTTCTGTCTTTTTTATTCAGCTTCTTCTTCTTCTTCTGACTGCGCTTTTTTGCTTGTGATGTTCGAAAACTTCTCAACGAATTAGCATTGTATTTATTAAGCCAGTTATTGCGCTCTTTTACAACTGCTTTAATCTTTGAACGAATGTTAAAGGGATTAGGACAAACTGCAGAAAGAACAACTGTATAACTTTGATAGGCTACTGATGATAGGGTATGACTTTTAACATGAGGACTGTTTTAACCAGCTCCAATATCAATGGATGATATTGGATAAGTACTATGAAACTATTTTTGTTCCTGTTTCTCTTGATAAATTAGCTTGCGTTTACAATGATCGAATGATTCTCTTGCTGGCAACAATAAAATGTTTTATTGTTGCTTCTGACCATTTCTAAAGCTCATCTTGTACATTGAAATGTTCGTTTAAGTTCAATTCATTCACATTCAAGCAGGAAAAGGTATAATCCTTGAATTTAACATTTTCAGTTATCCTTACTTCATAGATCATTTTCATAACCTGTTTATGAAAGCTTTGTATTTCTGAGTAATGAGTTTATGATTTGGTTTATTTTTGATTGTAACTATACACATCGTACTATTAATGTTCATAAATTTATGTTTCTCTAGTAATTATAATATTAGTTTCAATATGAAAGTGAATCGAAATCATTTTTCGTTCATATAATTTGAATCAAAAACCTCGCAACATGTACAGTTTTCATTTCGTTTCTTTTCATGTGTTTGCTTTTTCTTCTTCATCGAATAAAATAAGAAGAATAAACTGCATTTTTCTACTTTTTAAATAATTTTACCTGAACACACAAATAGTAAAGATTATGTATGAATATGAGTGTGAGTGTTACAAATTGATGTTTGATAGAAGAGATTAAATATCATAAGCAACTACTCTCTGTTATATATTGAGCAGGTAAGAATCGGGTAAATGTAGCTCTAAACAGTGTTCTAAACGATTAACTATATGTTAAGCGAATCGTAAAGTATCTTTGAAATAATTCTCAGTTATACTCGCTCATTCAAAGAATAATTCCATATCAAACATATTCCTATTACGTAAAATTCGTGCCATTCTGTTCTATCGCTCATTTCTTCTTCATTCTTATGCAACACTTTCTTTTCTTCTATTTTATTAAATAAAAACCCTATTGTCAGTAGTCTATCAAAGTAATAAATAGAATTGTTCTTTCTGCAGTTTGTCCTAATCTTTTTAACACTCGTTCAAAGATCAAAGTAGTTGCGAAAGAGCACAATAACTCTCTTAATAAATGTGTTGACAATTTTATCGGTATGGATCCTTTTTCGCCACTGATATCCGCATATACATAAAGGTTAAATTTTATCATCGAAAGTATTCACATCTATTGTCTATTCATTCAGTAATAATATAGTTTATCGACATTATGATACATAAAATGTATATTATACATAAATATCTCTTTCGTTCTTTCTTTGTCCTCAACTATAACTACTATATATATATATTGAAATTATAAGATTAGAATAATTGAGTATAGATTACAGGTGTTAAAGTGAAGATGTCAAAGAGGGGGAGTTTTGTGTATCATTCGATTTAAATAGGAAAGGAAAATTTTTACATTTAAATACAAGTCATGGTGTAGATCTTAATTGTCAAAAGAAAAACGATTGTAATATTAAAAAAATATATATATAGGATCAGTGGGGGAATAGTCATTCGTTTCTGAAAAAATTCATTGTATTATACCCATTAATTCGAGATTTTTCAAGGTAGGAATAAGTAGAATAGTTCATGTCGTATTCGATTATAGATGAGCGTTTCGGAAATATATCACCAACTCTTATAAAAAAGATGTGTTTGAATACATAGGGCGTAAAAATACATAGCACACAATGTAAAAAATGATAAAGTGTCATGTATCGAAATAAGAAGAACATGTATAACCAGCCATGAACTCCTGAACTAAATGTACATTTTTCTACTAATGAACAAGAAATGAATATAAATTAAATTAACTATGGATATGTTTTGTTTCTTGGTGTGTTCAGTTATGTAGTCCTCTTTCTCTCGTCATATAATGAAGCAACACGAAAAAAAACAAAAGATGAAAAAAGAATAAATGGAGTCCCTCTGTTAAGGTGTTTCTTTTTTGACGTTTATATTTTTCTTTTTCTCTTGTTGTCTTATACATACACACAACTACTGTTTAGTATGAAAGTACTAAATAAAAGAGAAAAAACTTTTTCACCATAGCGTTATATCTACCTAAAAATTACAAAGAAAAAAAAGACCATCTAAATGAATGCAGAGAAGGCGCATCATAAAGCGTCATTGAGACAGAGGTGTAATGATGTATCGGTATGCGCAGGCGATTAAACGCATGTACATTTTCTCTCCTTCCTTTCTCTCTTATATGCGATGGTCATGGAATGAGAATATTTATTTAAAATTTTTTTATAATGAAAACAAACTAGAGAAAGAAAGCACAATTGATTGTTATCATTAACACAATACCACTCTGTGTAACAGAAGAGACGACGATAATTCATTTTTACTTCTTAATCTGTTTTTTATCAATTGCGTTTTTTTATCGATTTAAAATAAAACAAGACTTCATTATTTCCTTCCTTTTTTACTAACACTTTCTACTATACTCACACGCTCTAATAGGTACAAAAATATGATAGAAATAACAACAAAAACCACGCTATATTGATTGAAAGAATGTTTATAATGCTTATTATATAGCAATGCTTTTGGTGGTACGTATTGCGCGTGTTCGCTATGATTACTGCCTTCTTATTCACATTTTTTTCAAACGTAAGTTAGAACTAGATATACAGAAGGAAATCTAATTTATCATCAAATCACAAAAAATCTAATAAAACTGCCTTTTAGAATCTAATGTGATTTTACCAAATTATTTTATACAATAATCTTCTAGCTGAATTCGTAAGTTTATCAACGTAATTAGGTCATTTATTCATTGCTTCGATTTGCTCTAGTTATATGAATATTGGTTTTATATCAGACATCTCAATCATCCTTGAACTTTACATGAGGATACTTGTTTTAATTTGATAATGTTGTGGTATGTTTTCTTCTCTTCTTGTTTTGATTAATATCCACAATTTTTACATTGTTCTACCGAATATAAAATCACTGTGGATAGACAGACAAAAATAAAACTACCACAAATTATATATATATTTTTGAAAGAAATTTGTTCTTGTTGTCGAATATATATATCGCTATATATGAAGACTATGTTTAAATTTAGTTTGGAGAGTAGTCTATAGGTCTATATTCAGTTCGTAAAATGATTTTTTTCCTCTTTTATTGTTGGTTATATCCTCTTGTCATAAGAACGAAAACACGCACATATGCAAGTAAATATAAAGCCCTGAAAGAAGAGAACACAAAGTTTAGATCTATTTTCTATCCATATGATTATATGAACGTTTTTCTTTCATGTTTTTCAAAAAAAAAAAAAAACTATTTCAATAATCTTAAGGAATATTTCTGACCTCTATTTAACTTTTTTAAATAATATTTTTAGGCATTAAATAGTATCAGCCTGAGTTAACATTCGATCTTTCTAACGTGATAATAGTCTTACATAATAAAAAATCTATGGAATTGGAATCGATCGAAATTTGATAACAGTTGAGATAATTAGATATTTAATTTTGAAAATGAACTGTAAAATGAAACGTTAAAACCATAATTTTGAATATTTACTAATCAGTTTCTTGTCTAGTGAGCAATAGGGTTGAAAATCGTTCTTATAAATATAAGTTAACTTTGTATTTTGTTCTGTTTGTTTAGATACATGCAAAGGACATAGAATATTCCAATGTATTCGATCGGATGCCAAATAATTGACAATAAAATGCAGCTACTTTAAACTATGACTGAAATTGACCAAGAACAGTCTGTAACAAATCTAATTAAGCTACACAGTGTACCACAATTATTAAAACGTGATCGTGAACAATTACAACATCAGTCACGTTCCATCGCCTATTATCATGATTCAATCGATCGTGAGAAAGCTGAACAATTATTAAAATTAAAATATGCTAAATATCGTCACGATGGACTATTTCTTCTACGAGATTGTACGACATCTCCACACGATTTTAGTTTATCGTTGATTTATTTCGATAAATGTTATCATTACAAAATACAATTAATATACGATATTTATTTTCAAATTGATAATGGACCACAAATAGCCGGCATCGAAGCACTCATTCAATATTATCAAAAAAGACCAGATGGATTAGCATGTTTATTATCGAATGAATTTGTTATTAATATTCCTCCACCTATTAATGCTCGACGATTTGGTTATACAAATACGCTGCATAAAGCGTGTAGACAAGGAAGTATCGAATTAGTTAAAAGAATTTTATCTATAGATTTATATCGACCAGATATTAATGCAAAAGATTCGATAGGTTCAACGGCGTTGCATGATGCATGTTATTTTGGACATGATGATATTGTGAGATTATTGTTAAAAGCGGGAGCACATGTTCTAGCAAGAGATACAGATGGTGCAACGGCTCTACATAGAGTAAGAACAATTTTTTCTCATCTGTGATCGTTGTTTTCTTTCCTTCTGTTTAGGCAGCCGCTGGTAATCGTCCATCAACATTGTTGATATTGATTAATGAAGGTAATGCCGACTTTGAAGAACGTAATTATATAAATAATTGGGTACCATTACATGAAGCCGCTTATCATAATAGTGCGGCGTGTTGTCGTGCTCTATTGGAAAGCGGTGCACCTCTACGTGCTAGAACAGATCTTGGTAAAACACCATTAGAAATAGCTGAAGAAGAGAAATCGGACGATTGTATACAAGTTTTTTATGATTATAAACCATTACCAGCTGTTAGTCGAAAATCCGATTGGCTACATGAAACAAATTTAGATCGTTTAACTGCAAAAACATTGTTAGAAGGAAAAGGTTCCAAAAATGGGATGTTCGTTGTACGACGTTCATCCAAAAATCCAAAAAATTATGCTCTATCATTGTACAATGATAGAGAATTTTTCAACTATGAAATTATTAGGCTGAATGATACGACATATTATATCGATGATGGACCGTTTTTTGATTCACTAGAACATTTAATTGATCACTATTGTCGAATACCCGATGGGTTACCCACAACGTTGTTATCATCAGTAAATAGACTCGGACAAATTGTGCTCAGTAGAGTACAACCTTTAGACGTTTACGCCGCCAAAATCAATATGGCATCGGCACCAGTACGAAGTAAATTGGGAATTGCAGAATTGTCAAGACAATCGAGTATTGATGATACAGTAACAAAATTAAGTGGAAGAGCTCAACGGGGACTAACCCGTCGAAGTACTATACATATGGGTAAGAAAGCTTGTCTATTTTTTTGAGTCCTACCTAATTATAATCTAGTCATAGTGTAATTCTCTTCCACGAATTTATTTAAATTATCCAAAATCTAATAACATGACATTTCGTCGTAGAAAACGACTTCTTCAGACTATGATAAAATTGAAAAAATGAACACATACATTTAAACAAGAACAAAACAGAACAAGTTAGCCTATACCTTCTTTTATTTTAGTCAATATATGATAGTGGTACGGAAACTTATTCAGTAACTATTGCCGTCTTGTTTCCGTATCACTATCATAATTTATAATAAATTTGTGGAAGAGAATTACACTATGACTAACTTATTATCAACCTTCCTAACAAGACAAGAACTAATTATAATCTATTTGTCTTCCTCAAATTGGATAACACTCGAAGGTCTTTCAACCCTGACTATAAATCTTCAAAAAAAATATTGTAACAATATAAATTTATTACTTCAGCAAATGGTTCACTGAGTGGTTCAATGACGTCATTAGCCTCTTCCTCCTCTCGGTCACATGCCGGCAGCAATCAAGATCCTACTTCTCCAACTCCTTCATCGTTATCCACAAGTTCATCTTCGGCCAGTTTATCATCTTCATCACAAGCAACCAGTAATAATCGTACAACATTAAACAATGATAATTTAATTCCATTTGTCGATAGGCGGCAAGCCGTTGGTGGTCGTATTCGACCCTTTGTACCTGAATTTACCCAATCAAAAACTGCACGTTCAAATACAAATGGTTTACAATCGTCATCATTAATTAAACGTCAACAAACGCCGCACAAACGAAAATCGTTACAGCTAACCATTATACCAATGAGTCAAATTCAACAAACATCTGTACTTGGTGAAGGAGAATTTGGTCAAGTATGGGAAGGTTTTTATAAAGATGAACGTGGTGTAGGTATACCAGTAGCTATCAAGATTCTAAAAGATTATTCATTATCAGTTAAAAAAGATTTTTTGAGAGAAGCTGAACATATGGCAACATTAACGCATCATTGTATTACGAAACTATACGGTATTGTTGATAATGATGATAGTATGATGATGGTTATTGAGCTATTACCACTTGGATCATTAATAGATTATCTATGGAAATATAAAGGCCAAATTAATGAAAGTAAACTAAAATTATGGAGTGCACAAATCACAGATGGTATGGCTTACGTGGAAAAGAAAGGAATCGTTCATAGGTAGGATCATTGATATTAGTATACTTCATGAAACAATTGTCACTTATGTGACTTTTTATAGGGATCTTGCAGCCAGAAATGTTTTGATACAATCAAACGATCAAGTCAAAATAAGGTATATCTGTTTATCTAACTAAAATTATTAAGCACTAAATATATCGTTTTCTTTTTTCCTAGTGATTTTGGTTTATCAAGAAGGACAGAAGCAGATGTTTACATGCAATCTTCTGATAGTAAAATACCCGTCAAGTGGTATGTGAGTTGCATAGAGAAAATACACGAAATTCTAATCATTTCACACTCTTCTAGGTATGCCCCAGAAGCAATTAATTTTGGCCGATTTACGTCAAAAAGTGATGTATGGTCATTCGGAGTTACTGTTTGGGAGATGTTCAATTATGGTTCAACACCCTATGGTTGGTATTATATAGATTCATTTATTTTTTAGCTCTTTATATTAGATTCTATATTATTTAGGTGATATGAATGGTACCGACGTGTTCTATTATCTTCAAAAGGGCAAACGTCTAGATCGTCCATCTCGTTGTCCAGTATCAACTTTTCGTATTATGTTAAAGTGTTGGGAATGGGATGAATCAAAACGTCCCACCTTTGCCGAGTTGCTCGTTTATTTTCAAAATGATCCTGAATATAAAGATATTGCTAAAACGACAACAACCACCGGCCTTGAACGACAAGATTCTCGTTCGTCTAATCAACAGCAATTAAACACAAATAATAATAATAACAACAGTGATGATGATAGTGCTAATTAAGAACAGCTTACTTCTTCATTATCGCATGAATTTACTGCATCTCAAAACACAGACACAACCAATGTTCATATATCAAAATCATCAATATGGCTCAAATAAGCGATAAATAAGTTATGATATCCTTGTTTTTCTACGCAATACGTTTTATTAAGACATCTTTGTGAAATATTAAAATGAAAGAACTGATAGAATTTACCAGGTGATATTACAACAGTGTAATAGCTAAAGAGCAAGGATTTCGAGTCTACTGACTTTCACATATGCAGAAACCTGCATTCTTTTGATAAAATTTGAATAAAGAATCAAATTAAACTTTCCATACATTTTTCTAAATTTTTGATTACATGATAAATTCAGCGAACTTTTTCTTTCGTTTTCTTAGACACTTTAAATTCACCTAACAGTTTAGTCGAATTATGCGCTATTGCATAGAAACGCTTAATTTGAGAATAGGAAACTTTGGTTAAAACATCTATATACACGTCGACGAATGTAATATAAGGACACATTAACTACTTTATTATATTTTTTCTACACATTCCATTCTCAAACATTCACGATACCGGTTTTTATCTGTTTGAATACCTGTGAAGAGTACATGTGTATGTAGAAGAATAAAATATTTCTTATTGTTTTCTTAATAATTGATCTATTTTTTTGTTTTGTTTGATAATTGTACACTTTTTTATGCGAGTTGACGATATATATCACAATTTTGTTAAAATTATTGTTTATGTCCATTACATGGTGCACTATTTTTTAAATAAGCTTTATATTATTCCTACAACTATAAAAATTGTTTGTTGTTTTTTTTTGACACAAACAAAGAACACAACTATGAATGTTCAACATTGTTTTTTTTTTGTTATTTATATATGTTCAACATTAACACGATGATAAAAGACAAACACACCAAAAAACACAAATAAATAAAATTTTATCTTAAATGGAAATGAAGTTTTTCTTTTTAATACTTTATTATTACAAGCGGAGTTTTTAATATGAAAATCTCTCTCTGTCGAATAGACAATGTGATCAAAGACGACTTTTAATCTTTTACTGATCAAAATACGTCTCCTTCATTAAAAGTTTTGAAAATGTCGTTAAAACCTACTGCAGATAAAATTTAAACTATTTTCAAACAAAAGTGAAAAATTCGTTGATCATTCGAAAACAATTTAGATAACTTCAGAGTTTTTAGAGTACATCCTATTTTAGTTGCTTTCGATGTTATCAAAAGTCCTAACTGCGGCAAAAGAAAAGAAAAGGCTGTGGATCTAATAATGTTCTATAAAAACGTTGGAACTATAGAGACAAATTATTTTCTTATTTCGATTCGCACGATCATATAAAGCAATTAAACTAAAATATATTTTAATGATTTGAAGTCATTTGGATTGTTTTTGAGTGAAATATGAATTTTTTGATTTTTGTATAAAAATAACCTAAATTTAATTATTTCATCTTAAGTAGATTTTAATTCTGTTTCTTCCAATTGCAAAGAAAATGAAGAACCATACTTAAAGTCAAAATTGATCGGCTAATTTTCGTGCTTCAGAACAGATTTTGATACTCTCAAAAGGAGAAAACTAATATATTCAAGTGCGCGAGAGTATCATACCAAATAAATGACAATCGTTCATATTTAGATTGCCTAATATATTATGGTAATAAAATCGTTTTTTCTCGATGGAAATGATTCAAAGAAATCTCAGTAACAAATATAATCGTCTTTTCAATTGATTGATCAACAGATGTCGTATTTGCCATCCTTTCTTTCTTAACGTCCATTTAAAAATCCGATGTTTTTCTTTGAAATGCGAACGAGAACTTATTCATCACTTGAAGTAATGGCAGATTGTCACAGTCAAACAGTATAATGAATATTCTAGCAATTTTGACGAAAGTTTCTCATCTTTTTATAAAAAACTTATTTTAGTCGAATTTAATTAAAAAGATTCATCGCTCAGCTCTGTATTTATAAAGATGACGTGTCGGTTATCATCATGAAGATAATAACATTCTATCATTTATTACAGGTACCGAGAAAGATATAATCCATAGTAATTATTCTAAAAAAAACATCAGGTTCAAAATAAATTTGTTCTTCATATATTTTAATTTTCTATGCATGCGAAAAATAGTTAAAAACATTAAGCTGGAAATGACATTCTACTCGTTCTGTATTTTTGTTTCGTAACACTTTGAGGGGCGTAGCGACCGCGATGTATGTGACCCCCTCCTGCTTTCGAAAATATTAGCCCTTTCCGCAGCAAAATATGATAAATCTTCTTTTTCTGCGTAGCAGCTTTTTGTAGTAATTTTTTACAGGAAAATTTTAAGTCGCCCTCTCCCTGCTTTTGAGCCCTCGCTACGCTGCTGAACACTTTGACAGTTTAAATTTCAAAATCACTTAAAAGATCTACGGAAAACTGAAACATTATAAATTTTCTTAAATCAGTATGTGACATTATTACACCGTTTTGATATCCTACATACAACATACACCAAAATCATTTTGTTTTCATATAATGGAAGAAAAGGAAAAAATCGTTGCTGTCTAAAATTAGGAAAGAACAGATAAATCATCGACAATAAAGCTGAACTTTAATCATTTTTCCCAAAGTAAGAATAATCATCAATTTCTATAAACTGAACAATGATGAGTTGCAGTCGTAATAAACTGAGTACACATAGTTTTTTCTTAAACGATGGGAAAACGAGAAAATATTATCATTCCGTTTGTTTTTTAGAAAAATCATCTATTTTCTTGAATAAACTTATCTTAGATTAAAAAAAAGGTATAAAAGTGAGATGTTGAACTCAATTCGTTACATTCTACTTTCGAATCAACATCCCTTTAAAATCAATCTTTCAACATGGATTACAACTACTATTATCATAATCATTCTTATTTACCAAATGTACCGTATCCAAACTATCCAATGTCAAATTCGTATTGTCAAACTGAATCAACTCCGTTTTATGTAATAAATGATTCTCTTCAATTTTATTCATCGAATCCTTCTCCACCTTCATTAGATACATCCCAGCTGAACGACTCATATTTATCGATGTCAGAGTTTCATTATCCTACTCAAACAATTCTATCCAACACACAATCGTTTTGTAATAATCCAGTATGGCCGTTTCCTTCTTCAACAAGCTGCGTACAACCAGTTCCATCTTGTATTCCATATTCTACGTCAGCATCATTCATATCGCCACAATTTTCGAGAAGTAAGTAAAAAACTAACCTTGATGTACAGAGCTTCTTGATGTACATCAATGATAATCGGGGAAGGTACTTAGAAACGAGTGTAAAGTATCAATTCTTGTTCTGTATCTAGATATATATAATTTATTTTATATTTCAAGGATCAAGCGAAAGCGAACAGAGTAAATCACTTCAACTTCGAACTCAAAAACGTTTTAAAGAAAGTGATCGACAAATACTCTATGCAAGTTACAGTCAAGAACCACATCCTAGTTTAGCAGCTTATCAACAGATTGCCAAACAACTCAATGTTCAAGTTGATCGTGTTCAGGTATGTTTCTTAATCATTTATATACGCGCAATAAAACTGTTTCTCCGGAGAACTGTCGACCAGATTTTTGATGGATTCACAGATTTGTTCGATTCTATAACTAATCCAGAGGATCGACTTTTCATTCCTGAGTCAAAATGTTTCTAAACTTAATATCGTCACATAATATCAACTAATCTCTCTAACATTCTTTGTTTTTCAGCAATGGTTCAAAAATCGACGTTATACCGACAAAAAGAAGCGTTCAGATAGAACAAAAGTGGGAAATAACAACAGAACAAATAAAGACAAAGAATCCTGAAATCGTTTTTTTTCACGTTTTTAGTTTAAATTGTTATTTTGTTGAATTATTTATTCTATAACTAAAAAATTGCTAGCAGCATATAAGTTTTTCGAGAGAAATATATATATATGTACTCATTTCAAGATTCTGAATATCACAATATATATTTTGCAGAAAATTGATAAACACATGGTCCGAAATATCTCGACTGCTTTCCAAAAAAATGTTGTTTTGATAAATTTCCAACGTAAAAATGATAGAAATGTAAAATTGACGTTGTTCATCAGTCAACTGTTCACGACATTGTTTAACTATTCAAACAACACTATCATGATTGGATGAATGTACATAGCGTAGAAGAATAGTTGTTTTGGCAATGACGTAAAAGAGTTTAATTGCAATTTCTTGGGGCTATGATCATTCACTAGTTTTTGTATTTGTTTTTTCAAGTAGTAACTATCGATGTTTTTTATTATTCCACTTGCCGTGAATAACCGTCCAGTATGAATGTTTTGTTGCTCTTCTATCCGATATTAACCATTTATTGTATTTTTAACTAATTCTATTTGTTTCTCTTTGTTAATAATGATGAGTAGAATGTGCAATAGATCATATTCAAATGGAGTATTATTCGATTGCATCGAGTTGAGTTCTCCATTTCTCCAACTACCATCCAGTAATTTTGGAATTCAAATTTTTCTTTTCTATACTGTCATAACTGGAGATGCAGCTTTATGATTATATTACAGAATAAAAGAAAACGTTTTTAACCTGAATTATCAATATTCATGTACTCCAATAATATTGAGGAAAAAGAACATTTTTTCGATACTGCCCCAGAGCTGGACAGGTCACGGGTTTTTCAAGTCACAAGTCAAGTCATGAGTAATAAAAATTTTCACCAGTCAAGTTAAGTCACAAGTCATGACCTGAAATTTTTTTCCCATAGAAAATGGCATAAAAGAGTCTCCATTCCTTGGTATTAGAATACACACTTGCTATGCAATTGCAAAATGTGCGTCTTGTTACTGTGCATAAATTCTTACATATGACAACATCAACATTCCAAAATCATTATGAATTATTATTTAAAATTAGATTGTCTAAGCGTTTTAAAAATATTCATGACCTGACTTGATTTTTTATACCAAGTCATAAGTCAAGTCTTTTAAAAATATTTTCAAGCCAAGTCATGAGTCATTAAAAATTTCCCAAGTCAAGTCAAAAATGACTTTACCTGACTTAAGTCATTTTTGACTTGACTTGCCCAGCTTTGTAGTGCCCCTTGCTTTTTGCTGGTCTGTCCCAACTTATATCTTGTAACTTTTTTTTCTAATAGTTTAGCATTTTTTCCCGATTTGAGTAGGATCTCCACCTACTAACATGCCGATAAATAACTAAAATGCAAATATCTTAAAAAATCTTTTATACCGTTCACTTTACTAAATTGATAGTCTTTCACTCATTGATGTTATTTAAATATGTTGTTTGTATAGCGGTCTATTTCTGTATTATTTATTGTTTGAAACATAATATTTTATATTTTTAAATTATATTCGCAGTAAAGTCTGATGAATAATAATATCGATGCTAATAGTTTAACTCTTCTTCAGCTATTACGTCTTATTCTAATAACATAGGACAGAGAAGTATGCGTTCTACTTCAGACGAATTTAGATGCATAATAGTGTATTTTTTTATAAGTCTACTCTGTTAAATCCTTTTCTTTCAATCCGACGTTTGGAAATAAGTTATTTGTGATTGACGTTTGTAACATGACAGATTTATTCTCAATTGACCATAGACATTTATTTAGTATCAATAAAGAAATTACATTTGAGAACATTGGGATCATGGTCTCGTATAGAACAATTGTGAAGCACGTGCACACCTCAGGCACGAGCGTATGTGGTCTTAAATAAATATTTTCATTCCAAAATCTAGCTATTCACGCTATATCAAGCAGAACCTCCCAAGTGAGGCATAATTTTGTTCTTAGCATTATACGGTTCGTGTTGTACCTCACTGAGTACAATCTCCTTGTTTTATCTATCCTAGCATCTTGCTCTATCCTAGTTTGTCTAACCTTTGATTCTATTTTTATTGTAATTTTATTTGTTTTAAAACTTCAATTCAATATTTTTCTGCGCAATAATGAATAAAACAAAATTAAAGTAGATGAGAAATAACAAAAATGAAAAGAAAAAGGTGATGATCATCTTTTGTTGCTGTTAAAAATTACGTACATCAAGGTCATAGTCAACAAAGCAAAAAATAATAATACAAATAGATCCATATGTCACGTAAAATGTACAATATATTTGATATACGAACAATGGTAACATCTCCTGTATGATCATTACAGCAAAACAAGCAACAAACGAAAGAACAGAAAAAGTATATGATCACCAAGTAATAAAGAACAATAAAACAGTTTTACATACAGTTAGAAGCGCTATATGTACACATAAAAAAAGCAAATTTCTATCAAAATTTTAATTAAAGAAAGAGATAAACATACACACATAAGACATTTGTAGACCAAAAAAAAAAAATAATGAGCAAACAAAATAAAAAAACATCGTCGTCTCTATGTCAAAGCAAGGTTGTTATACTTTTTACCTAACAAAAGAAAATTGATCTATTGTTTAGACAAAAAAAAAATGAATAAAGACCAGAGCGAAAAGACTACAATTTATGACTTGATAAAAAAGCAGATGTACATAATTAAAATTTTCCATTTGTAGTCGTTGTAGGTGATGACGATGAATTTGTATTCTTTTCCACTGTACGTTGTTGTTCAGCTTTGCTTATATAAACATTTAATAGTTTTAGCTAAAATAGAAGATGAATATGAGATAAAATGACATAAACCATTAAGTAAAAAAAATATCTTTTAGATTAGTTTGGTCAATGACAGCAAAGATAGAAAATTGATCTTTCATAGAATAAGAGAAAGTCTGAAAGCATTCGAATAAAGAGTACAATGAAATATTTGTGATCAAATTTGTCCCGAGAAAATGATCATTAATTATTCAAAAATGCTGTATATAGAATAGATGAATTGTGTATAACAATATTGTGGCTGAAATTTTATAGAAGGTTTTATACCACAGTGAGCAGTTTATTTGAATAATTGATGAAATAGAATTAACACAGATACGCGTAGTCATTGTCACTTTTCGTCTGATTTTTGAAATATACCAAATAAAAGTTTTTCAAATATTTGATCAGAGATTAAACAATACGATATACTATCAATAATAGCGTTTAGAAATATGAAACTGTTTTATTAACTTCTTTTTAGTCATGTCTGTAAAAAATATATCATTGAACTTAATACAAGTTTCAACTATTGTGGAAGAGACAGGCTTACATTGGCATTGAGTGACATATTGATTATCTAATAAGAAACTTGATGACAATCTCATAGTGCGAGATTTATTTTTTAGATAGAGAAGAAAACACCAAATTGTTTTTGTTCGAACAGATAAAATGAAAAACCTGAGCAACAAGTAGCAGCAGTCGATTTTTCATAGACAAATTACAACAATTAAATTCTTTTATATTTATTAATTATTTTTAAATTTTTTTGTTGTTTTTCAACTCAGAAATAAAAACTTACCAGAATTTCTTTCTCAAATTTCTGCAATTTATAGATAATGAGAGGGAGAATTGTTTTCTAATAAAAGATAAAATAAATCATATTGCTTACTTTACTAGCACTTAATTTTTGTAAATATGTTCGTAATGATTCACCAACAACTAAAAATACAGCTACTAAACAAAATACAGCTGCTTTTCGCACACTTGACGTTTCACTATCCCATGACTAAAACGGAAAAAAAAAAAATATACATATCTGAATTAGTTCTTTGATAATAAAAAATATTAGAATATTTTTCAAAAATGTGACATTACATGCTCGGCTACCAGAAAGCACAGCGTCAACTTCAGTTGAACAGAAGCATTTTATTTTCGTAAATTACAAGAAAAAAAAAGCATGGAGATTGGCTCGCGTTTTCATGCGATCGTATATAATGGGAAACGTGTGCGCATCTTAAAAATTACCCTCTCCCAATTAGTAAGATAAATATCACAATCCAAATTTTTCAATACGTGAGAGAGAGAAAGAGAAAAAAAAATTTTGTTTTCCCCACACAAACTTACGACATCAAGATCACGAGAATGTATATCCCAAACCTACAGAGAATATGAGGATATACTCTAATCTAACAATTGAATACATACGCACACATTCATTATACAAAAAAAGAAGAGAATAAGATGATTATCATTTTCTACCACATGATGTTATAATAATCTTTTTATAATGTTACATAAATAGTTTTAAAATAAAATGTTTTTAATAGTGTGCAGCAGAATATAAGATAGCACATTCTTATCCTAAACCTGAATGTTATTGAATTACAAAAGTTATTTTCTTCAAAATATCTTAAAATAATTTACAAAATATTAACGTTTAAACTTACAGCAAGTAATGGTGGAATCATTTCTGGCATTAATCTTGCACAAACATCTTTATTCATTAATTCAATTGTTTTTTGTAACATTGTTATGGCTGCTTGATTCATTGGATATTTAGCTGTTTCAATAATTGGTTTTAATACACGTACACAACCTTCGGATGGTAAATGTTCAGCAGCCGCTAATGCAGCGGCTTCTGCTGCACGTGTAATCTAAATATGACCAGTTTTATTTTATATTATTACTTAATATAAGACTACGATTAAAATGATACATACATCACTTTCGGTTTCACTTTGTGCTTTTAATATTCGAATAATTGTCAATTCAACATAGTTCATAAATAAATTAGTATGATGAATTAACAGTTCACGAATTATTCTTAAACTGTAAACTTTCCATGTCATCTGAAATATTCAAAGGAACAAAGAATGAATAATAAGAAAAATTCAACTTTCTTTTTTACTTACATCATCATTATCATTATCTAAGATTTGTGTCAAAACATTCAATGTTTTTGTAAATGCAATATCCCATGTTTCATTATCGTTTACTTTAGAAAATTTTAGAATACAACGCATGGCATTATATCGTTGTTCTTTACTATAAATAATAAACAAAAAGAAATAATAACCATTAGTTTGATTACAATAAAAAATTATATTTCTACCTCAATGTTGTATTATTGGCAATATCAAGAGATGAATCAATAGCAGCTGTACGATCAGAAGCATTTAATATACTCTAAAAACATTATAAAATATGTAAAATAAAATATTTAAATTAGAAAACTTATTATTCTTACATCTGAGTGTTCTGTTGTATTATGTGCACGATTTGATCGATATAATTGCGGTGTATATTGTCGACCATTTCTTATAGCCATATCTAAACAAAAATATAAGATAAGACTAGATAACTAATTGTTTACACTCAATTTTATACCTTGAAATCCACTATCTTTTAATGAATTTGAACTTGTCAATAAATCATCATTTCTATGATTAATATTTAATGCTTGCATATTTTCCATTAAAACTCTCATATCAGTCAAATAAGTTGTTTGTGATGTTTGTTGATGTAATTGATCATGATTATTATCTGAATTTAATAATGAATTTACTGAAGTTGTCATGGGAGATGGAACACCACTATTTGAACGTTGAAGAAAACTAAAAATAGAAATAAAATAATAATAGAAAAAATGATAAATAAATTTAATTCATTACTTCATATCTTGATTTGAATATGTTGATGAATATTTATCGGTGACAGATCGAATAATTTTAGAAGCAGCAGTCTAAAAATAAAATAAATATTTAAATTAATTCTTCTATGTTTTGTTTGTTTGTTTTTTTATATACTTGATATGTATCTGGTAGACTGGTTAACATAAGTGTGAATTCTGGACGATTTAAATTGTACAATGCTAAAACAACACCTTGTGCTGCCTAAAATAAAATATAATAAAATTGTTTAACACACATTAGTTGTTAAAACCTATACAATAACAAATTGCTATTCTATGACTATTCTAGTTTTATTGTTCTATTTTTCAAGAGAAAAAATACTGACAAGAATCTATAAAATTCATTTAGCAGAAGTTAACTAGGATACCGAAATTATATCTAAAACCATACCTTTCTAACTTCATTTGATTTTGGTTCCACTGACCAATTCATTATTTTTGATAATGCAATTCTTACATCGGCATTATTAGCAATATCAACTGGTTCCATATGTTGAATAATTTGTTGTAAATGACGTAATAAAACTTCTTTTGCTTTAACTCCCGGTGCCAAAGAATTATCATTAATAAAACGTGTTAAAATGGTAAATTGTTGATGAACATCAAATGATTGACTAAAAATTACAACAAAACATAAGATAATGATAGTAATATTCTTTGACATCTCACTTACTTGACAACGTTTAAGCAATGTTTTAATTTTTTATATGTTGATTCTAAATGATCATTTCCCAGTCGACCCAATAATTTTGTCAGTAATGTATAGAGCCATTCATTTATTTCTCGTTTATAATTAACGATAAATTCTGGTAATACGTCGAGAAATGCTGTGAATACTTGAGTATGTGGATCATGAAAACGTTTTGAAAATATTTCTGTTATTCGTTTAATTTCTGGTGAGCTAAAAATATTTTAATATTATTCATAAAAACAAGTCAACTTTCTCTTTTATCTAATAATATTACCTAAAAACTCGACCAGAACGTATCATATGATAGAGTGTTGTTAAACCTTCTTTACGTTCTGCCCATTCATTACTGGACATTCGACGTAAAACATCAGCAACATCCTAAAGAAAAGAAGAGTTAAGTAAGTACATTATGTGTAAAAATGTGGTAAGGAATAGAAATAGACAACTCTTAATACGAATAATCATAGAATAAACATGCTCATTTTAATCTTCATGCGGGGATACTCAATAAAATTAAAAGATATTTGATGATTTTATAAAAACGAATGATATTATTCTCAGTTTTAAACAAGCATGATGATAAATTCATTAGGGAATAAATCATTAGGGTATTTCTTACTTAATCCTATCGTAAAATCGTATTTTTTTTCTAAAGTTGAATAATCATGCATCAACACACACGCCATCAAAACAAAAGTAGGTTACCTTTGATATTTGATTAGTAAATAATAAATAATTTGTCTGAAGAAAAATGAGAAGTCTGTCGAGTTAAAACTTTATCCTTATCAATTCAACACGCAATAATGTGTTATTAATAGTTGTCTTGGAAAGAAAAAAATGCAAAAACAATGATCTTCTTACTTCTTTGTCGATCCATTCTCTTGAACTATGAGCAGATGATCGCCTTTTTGAACTTTTCGACTGAAAAACAGTCATACATAGATATGATTATTATTCATTATTGAATAAATTATTTCCTCTTCTACTCACTTCTAATGAACGTTCTGAACATATACTTGATGTTTCCGATGCATTATCATCACTATCCGCTCCCCATGCACCACGACGTTGACTCGACACACCAAAATGATTTGAATCATAATCATTTGAACCTTGACGTACCCCGTATGGTCCTAAGAAAAAACAATAATAACTATAAAAAGTAAAATCGACGATTCGGTTAGATAGTTTTTTTAGTAAAGAAAAACAAGAATAATAAAATCTCTAATAACAAAAGAAAGCTATATACAAAACAATAACATCTACCAACCGAGTTTCTTTTCAGAATATCTACTATCCATTTCAAAATGTGAAATGATTGCTTATTCAACTATCGTCTGAGAAGAAATGGAAATTTTAAGTTTTCTTCATTTCATAGGCCAAACTTTAAAAAAATGAAAACTCTTTCTTCTAAACTAAGATTTTGTAAAGATTTTGAACCATTTGTTTATGATCACTTATTGTTAAGGCTACATAGTCGAAAATATTCTCTTTGAAGTGGAAATGAAGAGAAATTTTTGTCTTCTATAGTTTAGGCGTAGCATCGCATTTCCTGAGAGTTCTAGGATTTGTATGTGTTGACGTTTGGGAATCACAACAGCGACTGGAATATAGGCGATCGAACATACAGTGTCTCATAGAAATGTTTGGTTGGTGGAAAAGGCAAAAAATCTTGTGGAAACCTATTTTCTGAAGATATACACAATCCAGATGACCCAAAAATCAAAGGACACGCACAATTTGAATTGAGTTTAGTGGTAACAGAACGAAAAATCGAAAGAAATCGTTTTCGTAGACAAGATCGCTGGTCAGGTTATTGACAAAACTTGCTCTGTCGTCTGTGCTATGTACCAGGATTCTCAAACGTCAACATATACAAGTCCTCACAGAACTCTTAGGAAATGTGAGGCCATGTCTAAACTATAGAAAACGAAGATTTCTCTTCACCTCCGATTCAAAGAAGCTATTTATATTTTAATATAAATATCGCTTTATACACTTTATATTTTGAAACGGATAGTAGTCAAAAGCAAAAGTACTTTCTTTTACTTCGAAAAAGCACCATACTAAGCATTCAGAAGAAGATTTTACACATACACAAAAGACACAAGAAGATCTAATGATTTGATGATGGTGCTACCTAAACTTACTTACTTCCTGATCCTATGAATTTATTTCCACTATACCTTCTTTCGATTCGACTTTTATTATTAACAGCTATAATTAGACAGTGTATTCTTCTTTTTACTCTTTTTAACTTTCTTTATTATACATTAGTTATTAAATGATAAAAAAAAAAGATTGAATGAATTGAATACATACGTGTTCTTCCCGGACTTGATTCTCTACTAGATATTTTTCCCGATACTGGTATTCTTGAACGACCATTTGTTGGTGTTCGATTATTATTATGATGTGTTAGATAATGAGCTTTTAATGTTGGAGATGTTGAACGACTTCCTGGTTGTGATTGTGAAGTGATGGGTGGTCGAGAAGTCGAAGATACTGCCGTGGTGGAAGATTGTTTATAGATAGATTGTGGTTGAACAGGTCGTGGTCGAACTAAATTTTAGAAATTTTTTAGTTATAACAAGAACAAAGATAGATGATGAATATCAATGCGTACTTAGTGGTGATGGAACAACTGGTGTTGTTGAAGCTAAACATAAAAGATATCGATCATGAACAAGAAGAGAAGAAAAAATATGAGTATTAAAAGAAGCGTAACATTTGTCAAAGCATTGAACTTAGTTGCGCTCGAGCACACGTATCCTTTTCCCTGGTTATATACCATTCATACGCACAAAACTCAGCTACGTATAGATCATCGTTTAATACTGGTGACACTGAATAAGAATGGAAATTGGGCGATTATTATCGATAGTTATTAGAAAATTTTTCAAAAGATACATAGTTTTGATTAACATCTACTAGACTCGAAAATCAAAGTTTAATCCTTACTTGTCATTGATGTTGCATTGTCTTTGGCAAAATTTCTTGACGCTAATTCATTGGCACTGGAAGATCTTGCTAATACACCTGGTGAATATTGTTTATCTATTAAATGAAATGCATTTGTTAGAAGATCTGTTATGAAATGAGGCAATCGTGTACACATACCATTTGCTGTTTGATATCTAGGCGTAGTTCTAAATAAACAATCATAAAAACTTATCAAAGCTCCATTTGACTTCTAAAAACATTTGCTCTTACTCTTTTGCGCTTTTCATTCTTCCACCAATTGCTAATGAATGTGTGCTAGAAGAATTACTCATTTCGCCCTGAGGAAAAAGAAAAACACCAAAAAAATATTAAACATCACAATGATATTATACAAAGTTTACCAAAAGCATTTTTTTCTTCGATGCGTCCAATGTATTCAATAATTGATCAGCTAATTGTGAAAAATATTCACGAAATAAACCAAATGCTCTGAATGAAAGAATACATGATAATAAAATATTGATTATGATTGATTTCTACTTACTTTCTTGCATTTTGTCTTGCTTCTGGATCAGGATCGGACAAACTTTTTTTAATTGAATCATGAATCAATTGACCGTGTTTATCTAAATGGGTACGATCCCAATGAGATAACATATGTAGTAATAACTCGCATGTATGCCTTAAAATAGAATTAGAATAGAATAATACAGAAATAACAATAACAAACAATATTCGCATACCGTCTTATTTCTTTTGATTTTGATTCAAAATTTCCTAGTATGAGAGGTACTAATTTAGATGATTGAGTATTATCAACAATAAAACGCATGGCAACAATTCCACTTGTAGATATCACTTTTGCACTATTTTGAATTAAATTCATTAATGCTGGAATAACACCTTCAGCTGTACGTTCAAAACGATTTGTTAATTTAACGGACATGAATCTAAAATAAATCAAAAATATATTTACAATAAGTATCAGCAAAAAAAAACCATTTTCATTCGGCTTACGCTAATGTAATACAAGCTTCTCGAACAATTTGTGAACGTAAATCTTTGACCGTTGTTGCCAATGGTAAATCGAGTTGTCGCATATTTTTAAAAAACTCGTCATAATCGGCTGCACCACTAACAATAATCGATCGTAATCGTTTTAACTGAAAAATGAGTCAACATACTTCTAGTACACGTGTTAGAGATAAAAGACAGAGACAATACATACAGCATCTACTCTTTTTTCCCAATCATTGTTCGTATCTGCTAATGTTTCACGTACATTTGATAATTGTTGGTCAACGTCTTTTCCAGATAATAACTAGAGAAAAAAAATGTTGACTCTCGTTATTGAAAGAAGAACTCTTTATGTTAAACACACATACTTGAACTTCTGGTGTTGATTCAAATGTTTCAAGGAATACTGCTTCATCAACAGCACCACTGGAGGTAGCTTAAATGAAGAAATAAACTTCGATTAAAAAATAGAGGAAGAATTATAATTGTGTAAAACATCACATTAAGAATATATACTTTTTATCAACAACAAAACTTCGATGAAGAGTGAGATAAAAATCAATGCGATTGTATAATAACTGCTGCTACAATCGATAATTGAAATATTAGCAAGAATTTAGCTACTTTTAACTCTGATCCGTCCACCTGGGATCTGTACGGATCCCAGACGAAAACGAGCGCTTTGAAGATATGTCTTGCTGCTCTGCCAGATAAATAATGAGTGGATACAATCAGTTCATATTGATAGTACGCCCTATTGTCATTCAGTGGAATATAAAGTGAAGTGGTAAAATCTACCCATTGCGTTCAGACAGTATCCAAATGAAATCGGTAGAATTTGGGCATATTATAGGTGGCCGGATCAAGGTTAAGACAGATAAGTGATAGCAGACGAATAGAATATGTTTTATTTACACTTTTTCACTTTAGCTAATCTCTCAAATAGTTTTAATTTTCTTAAGAAGGTATGAAACATCAAAATAAACCATCCTTACGTTTGTGTTTAATCATGTGTACTTTGCTCAACTTAAGAATATTCGCGTTTGAAACAAAAGATCTATTTTCTCAGATAAATAAAACAAATATCTAACAAATCATTTTCTCATTCATTTTCCCGCATATTACTCTAGAGAAAATAGTTTTTTTTTTCTTATTATATATACATCAAGCAACATTATTTTTCTTGTATACAGGAAAAGGGAAAACAAAATTATCATGCTGAGCATATAACAGACAACAGCTGATTGTAATATATTAACAAATACAACAAAAAGAGACACACAAAATGACATAGAATCACAGAATTGAGAAGAGAAAATATCGGCTACTAGGAGAACATTTTGATTTTTTCACCTGATGTTGCCTTTACACCTGTTACAGAACTAGATGATGGCAATGGACGAGGAATACCAGAAGATGAACGAGATCGACGAGATACTAAAATAATTGTTTTTAGTTCATATTAAACAGCAACACCGTCGTCAAGAAAACTAAGAACAAATTCAATCCTGACGAAAATTACGATAAAATTCTATTTTAATTAATTTATCGTTCAAATTTAGAATAAAAAAAAAGATGAATTTTTCGATAAAGTATTGATATCAGTTGAAAAAACAAACATAATATAGATATAATATGTAAATTACTTACCAGCTGAAGTTGGTCCGGTCGATGATGTCGATGATCCCAATCGCATAATTCTTGATCGTGTATCTCCAGATGTTCCATTACCACCAATTTTTGATTTTGTTATTGCTGTACTATTAGATGTTGGTTTTGGACGCGCTATTAAATATAGGACCAAAAAAAAATGAAAATAATAATCATAATGGTAATTAATTATCCAAAACATATTAAACTTTTACTAATATTTGATTAATTATAGACAAAAACTTACGTGGTTTAGCAGCACTCATCCTAATTAATAGTAAATATAATAAACAATAAATTTTTTTAAAACTAATATCTTTCTATTTTCTTTTCTCTATCTTTAATGAGGCACCATATGCACTGTCTTAGATGTTACAGTTGAAACCTTATTATGATTCAAAGAATATAGTTTTACTATAGAAGAGAAAAAGAACACACGCACATGGATATGTAGAGAGGGAGAGAGAAAGCACTACTATAAGAAAATCTTTTCTTTTCTCTTTCACATAACAATGACAAATAGACTATGAAGATACGATAAAAAAACATAAAACCACACATACATAGTCTACATCTTTGTTAAGTTATAGAAATAGAAAAATTGTTTGACACAAGAAGAAAAAAAATGAGAATTTTATTTTATTTTATTTATTTATTTTTTTTTTAATGATATTTGAGAGATTGTACGTTGTACATTCGTTTTGATTGTTCACTAAAGAGTCAAGTATAAATGAATGATGAAAAAATATAAAAAAAAAAAATCTATTGATAAATTGAACAATGCAACGTTTTTTTGTTGTTTTTTTTTTTTTTTTTTTATTTTTTATGTCTTAGATTGAATTATAGTCAATAGAAAATACTTAGTAGAAAAATATTTCACAATATCATCTTCCCACAAGTGAAGGATAAAAGTAGAAAGAAGTCGATTATAATACTTGATGATCGGTATCAGTATACGATTTATTATACAAATATGAATAAAGTATTTCTCAAGAGAACTAAAAAGTCTTGTTGTCTATGTTAAAGTATATTCTGATCGATAAGCTAACGTTCTTTTTTTCCCGATAAAAAAGAAAATATGGCTCAATACTTAAGAATTTTTATTCTGAAACAGTCAAACAAACTCTTTCTTTTGTTTTATCTATTCAAAAAAACAAAACACAAAAGAAAACGAAAATATTTCAATATATCTGTCTGATGTTTAACTGTTTAACACATGATAACATTAATTAAAGGTTAACTTTTTATATGGGTGGTGTTCATCTTAGAATAAACTCATCATCTATCCCATGATAGATTGAAATATACTGATTCAATCGATTTAAAATTATAGGTCTCATAGTCTCTCTATTACTATGCACGATAGTTTTAATTTGAATATTTCAAAAAAAAAAAAAAAAAGAAAAAAATTGAGTTCCGCCTTCTCTCTTATTGTTTATGATATGAAATAATTCGTTGTTTTTTTTCTTTGTTTAAAAATCTTTTGTGCTATATGATTGAAACTGAATATATAATATAAATTATATTGATGAACCGACGATATGAAAGGATAGACTATACAAAAACGTACGTAGCTAAATAATAAAGGAAAAAATCTTTTAATCAAAAATCTAATGCTTCATACAATAACAACAATCAGTGAATATAATTTTTCGTTTTGCCTATATTTTCATTTTTAATTATAATCAAAAAATCTTTCAACTTTAAATAAAAATCAAGTCATAAATATGAATTTAGAAACTATTTATTAATAAAAAAAAAAATATATAGATATATTTTTTTTTATGCGTTAACAAATTATAAATCTTTGTCTAACATCTTAGATCTAAGATTTATTTAAGTTAATATAAATATAGATCATAAATAATTTCATATATTTGTTAACTAGAGTAGAGAGTATTCTAGACAAATAAATTTAATTCGTTGTCTATTACTGTCAAAAACGAAAGACAGCACGTTAAGATTTATGTTAAGTTAAGAATTGTGTTTGTTCAAGCGTTTCCCTCCTTCCTGGTTTTTAAACACATATAAGAAAATGATATAGTAAGATAAAAACAATGAATGTTATTACATTGACACGTTCAATTAAATAAAGCAAATTTCATAAAGAAGAGATAAAGAGAGAGAATATTTTATTCAACTATATGGTACTCATAAAAATTTTAACATCCACATACATTGTATAAAAATTTATCAAATACAATTTTGAAATTTTTATTCAATATGAAAGATTGTGCTACTCTAAAATCATAAACATCTAAATAAAGATATTTGTTTAAAAGATATAAATATATAATCTGTTATCATCATTCTTATATAACAAAACAAACAAATCATATAAAAATAATTCAATATTAACAAGAGTATACATCATCAGAGCTAAAATTTGGTAGTATTTAATTAAATTATTAACAGACGGATTCATTTTTAGATCTTCAACTATTTAATAGGTATTTTAGAAATTATAGATCTCTTTCTCTTATATAAATGTAGAAATTTGTTATTTATTTTATTTAAAAAATTCGTATTTTATCCCTTATTATATTTTATTGATTCACCGAAATGTATAAGACGGTAGTCTTCATCTCAAGGTCAAGGCTATATACTACTCTATTTACAAACAAAAAAAAAACGAAAAAATTCTACGTGTAAATATTGCGTGTACCTTAGACGAAGAGACATATATATTCTAATGGGCTACTGTCGGTATTCTTTAAGAAAAATAAATAAGACTAAATTAAAGATTAAATTTTTTACTTGGTAGTGATACTCTTACTAATGAATTTCGATTAAAGTAAATAGTAGATAAATTGGATAAATGTTTAAATTTTTCTTTGAAAGAGTCAAGAAATTCTTCCAAAAGATTTACATTTATTCGTGTTTAAAAAAAGATAATTAGAAGAAGAAAATAAAAATGTTTTATATTCATCGTATTGTGTATTTAAGCGTACAAACGCTCATGTACATACCGACAACAGAATTTCTATGAAGCTAAACAAATTAAGTTGTTATAGGATAAAAGAAAAAAGAAATATTATAATAGGAATAACAGAAATATTTATAAAATGAGAAAAGAAATAGAGAGAAAAAAAAAATGTTGTCGATTAATTCAAAATTCATCTTAACATATTATATAAATAATCAAAGATAGTGATATACAAACGATTTTATCATAGAACTTGCCGTATTATTATGAGAAGAGAAAATAACAGCTTAATGAATGCATATCCTGATCAAATGACATTTTGATTTTTTTCTAAAAATTTGATCTTTAGATACCGGAAGTATCAAGAATGTAATCAACTACATACAAATTTTTATCATAATGAATATGTCAGAAATATTTCACTTTTAGAACTTTTTAAATTAAAAAAAGATAAAAAAAAAAAAACAAATCAGTAATTTATAATGTGACAGATCTCTCTAATGTAGCTAGTTTTTGTATAAATATTACCTGGTAACGATTTTCTTGTTTTTGTATTTCGTCTAAAAAGTATTGGTGATAAATCGGGTGTTGAGGGTTGAAACTGAGTAGTAGTTGGTCCCAGAAATTGTTCTAACAACGATGGATCCATCAAAGTTCTTTAACTTAAGAGTAATATAGTCGTCAAAAGTCACGTCATACTACTACATACAACAAAATCTAAAAATACTTTTCTTTTTTTTTATTTCGACTTGTATATTGTGTAGATCTAATAAATGATTCTCCCGTTTTAAATAAATAAAAAAAAAAAAAACACCTAGTAAACTTTTGAAGTGCATTATTCTCAACTAGTAGTATATACTGTGCATTATACGCTTGGTAAAAGTAGTGGTTATTATTATTTTTTGTCATACACACACTTTAGGTAGAGAGAGAGAGAGAGAGAGAGAGAGAGAGAGAAAAAGAGATTCGTAATAAAAAGGCATATGAATCTCTCGTTGCATCTTGAACAATTTTTTTGACAAAATATCATCAATGTCATCACACCTATGTACAGAATATATCAAGTCATTTTTCTTCAATTTTTTTCTTGGTTATATATACTACATTAAGTTAATACAATGCAAATACCTTTAAATTTCTTCTTTATAGGTATTTGTCTCATTATTTTGAATCACAATTTTTCTTATTTTTTATATACATATATGTACATTATCATATTCAAAAGAAGAATAACTGCTGTTCGAACAAATTGAGCATAGTCAAATTCAAAATGATGAACAGTAAGATTAAAAAAAAAAGAAGAAATTAAATTATTTTTGTTTCTTATTCTATACTATATCTCGATTGACTATATCTATGATTTCAATCAATTCGATATACCGAAAAAGAGATGAATTATCATATAACTATTTACTGAATCGAATAATGAGATGGTGAACAGGAAGGAAAAAAAGAGAGACTTCTCTTATTACCAATGTAAAATACTGACAAATCAACAAAGAGATTTATCAATTTTGAGAAAAATAGATAAATTGAAGTGCTTGCTCAATGAAGAGCTCATTTTTCAGAAGAACTAAATTTATCATCTAACTGTCAGATTTTCTATGTATATGTTATAAATTTGTCTAATTATCGATTTAATGTTTTTCAATGTCTAATAGCTTAATAGAAGATCACTTAATGTCACTTACGAATAATTTTCTCACTCTCTTTTCTTTTAAACTTGCAAAAAGAAAAAAAAACAACACCTATTGAACAATAATAAATGAGACGATGTCTCGTCTAGTAACATAAAGAAAAGTAAAAAAGAACGGATTAGATGATCAATCACTAAGAACAATGGGTGAGAACAAAAAAATACAGTAGAAGTACAACGAATGAAATACACTGAACATATATGTATAGTTACATATAGTCGAATATATATTAAACTTAATAATCGCTCTTCAAAAAAAAATTTTCTATTCTTTCTTGTTTTTTTTTTTTTTTTAATGTACTTCCTATCAACTCTGGGGAAGAAGTTTCATTTTAATAATAATAATAATAATCGTCCTACAGCTTCTTTTTCAACAGTGTCAGAAAGAAATAGAAACCTCCTGACACCTTTATGTACAGTTTTGTATACAATTTCCGTTTTCTATATCGAGAAGAAAAAGAAAAAGAAAAAGCTCTGTGTAACTGAATGTATAAGAGGTGTGAAAAATATGTTATAGTAGTTATCAGAATGAAGGTTGAACAATTAGAATGTGAACATGGTGTTATTTTTCTATGGTTATTTTTTTTTCTTTTTTTTTATTATAAGGATAAAATTAATTTTTAGTTCGAAAAAAAAATGTACGAGTTGGTCAACTAGCTCTGTTACCCGAGTTACATTATGGTTATGGTATTATTTTTTGCAGTATATTTCTCTTATAATTTTTGAATGATGAGATGCCCAGAGCTTGAAGATGTCTCAAATTAAAGAGAAAAGTGTGCTGAAATTTTTAAGACATATCCACATTCTGCACAATCTTTCGTTTAGAAAGTATAAACATTAAGTTTTACTGATAAATTTTCAAAAGTAGGCATGTGTATTTGTATTATATTTTTTCTGAACGAAAGATCATGTAGAGTATGAATATTTTCAGCACACGTTTCACTTTAATTCAATTTATCCTCAAACTCCGGACATCTCATCGTTCAAAAATTATAAGAAAAACAAAATGTAAAGGAAACAACAGAATTTCATTCGTGTAGCAAAGTTGGCTGACCAAACCGTATCAAAGAAATTAGATATATAAAATGTTTACAATTATTCAACAATGTTTAACTTAATATAGTTGTATTTCACGATACGATTAGTAATTGGTACATTGTGATATTCACACAAGTTCTACTCGCTACTTAATGAATTAAGAACATCAAGAGATGTCACTAGTCATCATCTACTATTCAAATCAATATCATTGACTTACCATCTTCTTTTACTAACATTCTTCCGCTAGCAACAACATCATCAAATTTTTCATATAAGATTTTTAATCTAAAATAAAATGCAGAGTATTATTTAATTTTTTTTCAGTAAATGATAGTCTCTTACTTTGCTTCTGGAATATCTCTTTTCGAAATATCACTTCGAACTTTTTCACCAACATGTCGATATATTTCAACAAGTGTATCAATTGCTTGTTGTCGAACCTTCAATGAAAGAAATAATTATTAATAGTATCAATAAGAACAAATATGAGTTATTGTACTTGACTATTCGAATCTGTGACAAGTTTACAAATTAATGGGACTAATTTATTTAATTGAATAGAAGACGCACCAAATCTAAACAAAAAAAAAGAAAATTTAAATTATCACTGAGTATATTATAAAAATCTATTAGATTTAAACATATTTTATTTTTATGATATATGAACAAGATGAAAAATCACTGACATTCGCAATATCTGTTATCGTCGTTCTGTGAAACTTGTCTGCCATATTGTGTTCAATCACGAATTAATCAAAATTTTTATACTTTTTTTACTAAGCGGCGTGGCAAGCTAACGGACCACCTTCGGATGAGAAGGTTCGAATTTTTGTTTTAACTTGAGCAAAGCTTAAAAATACATCATTAGACGCAGTTTTTCACGGTGATTACAAATCTGAACTCAAAGACAAATGAAAGTCAAATCTTTGTGAAAATTTAAATTTAATTTCCTGATCTAGATATTTTTTCCAAAAATTCTGAAAACTATACTGTGGGATAGAGAATCAAATCCTCTACCAAAGGGCTCATTTGTTTTGACGTTTAGATGCCAAATTTTATTTTTATTTTCTAAAAAACGTTTTGGCGCTTATTTTGTGAGCAATTTTATGCCCATTTAATCTAACTTTGAAAATTTGTTTTTGGCTGCATGGGATGAATGGTACCTCAAACTATCTACCTCAGCGCTTGCTAGGTAGTTCTGTGACAGAAAAAATATATATCAAATCATCTGCAAAGAAGAGCAAGAAACGGTGAAATTCCGTAACGGTCACTTTTATTCGATTTTCTCTACCAGGGAACTAATTCAAGCAAAAGTCAGTAGTGATTCTGATAGCCCAAACTGTGAGCTTTAATTTGGTAATCAAGCAACCATTTTAAAATTAGTTTAAGACCGAATAATTTGCATTTTACTGGAATACACCGAAAACCGCTTCCATTTTTTGAAATTCCGTAACGTGAATGCATGCTATTTTGACTATAATTTTTGATCCGCTTGTCAATTCAGCTCAAATTATTTTTGGTAGTAGAACTCCCTAATATCCATCACTGGTATAAATTTCATTGATAAACGTTGGCTCTTTGCCGAGATAAGGGGCACAGAAGACGAAAAAATGAAATTCCGTAACATTTGGCCAAGCCGTAAGGTCTAATTGCTACTTAATTATTTAAACTTATTATGACCGTGACTGCTTATTATTTCTGGGAACTTTCACGACGTGAAAATTTAGTAAGAATGAGTAGGTAGGCGCATTTTACACATGTCTACTAGTAATATATTCTGATTTCATACGTCTTCACATGCTAGTACAGGATTTCAAGACATTTATACACGATAGCCCACTGATTCAATCATGCAAGGATATCAGTCCACTATGAAACTTATTTTTTTAAATTAACGAGATATATCATCCAAAATGACACCATCATCTGGTATAATCTAGCAAATCTACTAGTGTCATCGAAAAATTTCACAAGACCTAAACTTAAGCTTCTATCAGACCACCCTCTCCTCTGGCCAAGAAGCGACCATTTATTTTACATTGACATGTAGCCTGATTTTATATAAGAACAATGGATCCACGCTTAGACACTCGTTTGTGAAACTAAGCGTCAGTATGCTCAAGTTAACCAGAGTTATTATTTAGCTAAAAAAGTTCTACGAACTATCATCCGTAGTAACGCGCCTGTGAACTTGCAGTTAATAGTGTGCACGCGTGATACTTCAATTAGTAGCTACGCTTACAAAATTTTCATGTATGAAAATACGTAATAACAAGAGGATTTTGACAGTAATCACGCATTCTACGTCGTAAAAGTCATATTTTATTCAAAATCATTATTTGTCTTAGGACGTAACATAATCAAAATTCTATTCTTTCAATATTTTTGTTAATTGCAATATAATCACAATATAGGCACATCTATACTTATACGTTTTTATTCAACAAAAAAGAATATAATTGACTGAATTTTCAATATTTTGAAGTTTATCATATTTCATAGTCTTCATCTCTCAAGTCTGTATGCATAAATTGCATTTCATGTTATGTCATCTACATTCGATCAACATTTTCACTTCAAACATAATTCAAAACGTAATTGCATGATACGGCGGCGGTATATTTCATTTAGTTCGATCAATCATTAGGTGAGATACACATGAGATTAACTCAATGTAACATAAATAACTTTATAAAATCAGCTGAACTGAAGTTACATAAGATCATAAGGACACCTTATGCACAAAACTATCGTGCATAGTGTTTTTCTGCATGTGGAAAAGTTAATGAGTAATATGACCATCTGTGCTAATCATCTGACACATGTGCATTCATTATCATTAATCTCTCTTGTTCTGTCAACATGAAAAAATAACCGAAACAGTTATTTTTCCTTCATCTATAATGACACCATCATCTGGTATAATCTAGCAAATCTACTAGTGTCATCGAAAAATTTCACAAGACCTAAACTTAAGCTTCTATCAGACCACCCTCTCCTCTGGCCAAGAAGCGACCATTTATTTTACATTGACATGTAGCCTGATTTTATATAAGAACAATGGATCCACGCTTAGACACTCGTTTGTGAAACTAAGCGTCAGTATGCTCAAGTTAACCAGAGTTATTANGAAAAGTTAATGAGTAATATGACCATCTGTGCTAATCATCTGACACATGTGCATTCATTATCATTAATCTCTCTTGTTCTGTCAACATGAAAAAATAACCGAAACAGTTATTTTTCCTTCATCTATACATAGGGATGTTCAAAAAATCAATAAAGAAGAATCGACTGAGCATTATAAAAAAAATAAACATACACATTTCATTGCATAAACATCACTACAAAAGGTAGTATTCAGATATTTATCAACGTATCAGAACCTACTCTGTTTGAAACACGAATGTAATGTTAATGTTTCACAGCAGGTTTCTCTAATCTAAGGTAATTACATATATAAATCATTGCTAATCAGTTTCAATAACAATATTATACATTTTTTTACAACAATTATTTTATACAATAAAATTAATGAACATTATTCTTACTTTTTAGTCTACTAATTTGATGATAAACTTCACTGATCTAAGACTTCTTCATCAACTTCTGCAAAACAATTCTCTAACGAGTAAAAAAATATTTATCGTGCAGAAGATCATTACTTATCTTATTCATGAGAACTGTCAAAAGTAAGCAATGAGATTAACGATTGAAGAAACATTAAACGTCATCCTTTTACATAAAATTTTTCTATAGATAAGACGAGAAAATCAAGAAAGTTGAATTGCTGTTTTCAGAAGAGTTTTTAGTTATGTCACAGTTCATTTATAGTTAATAAATGAAAAAATGATTATTTCCATGTAAACTTTGTCATTTTACCTGTCATTGATATATTGTGTTGAATTTGTTCGTCTCATGCCAATTGAACTCATAGTTTAAATACGACCAATTAATAAAAGATCATTAGAATAACATGTAAACTTTTTTTATAAAACTATGATATTTTCATTTTCTTAAAAATTTAAAAAGTAAATAAAATAGTCTCTCTATTCACATATTTTTCTCATTCCTAAATATTGAATTTTGGAAAGCCTATAAGTATTGTTATGTTTTACATACAAACACACATAAAACGAAAACATATGTTGTACGCTTCTAAAAACTTAATCTCCTTCCTACATAAACAACACGAGAAAAGAAGGTATTAACAAAAAACGTACACTTTACTATAACTATTGTACACATAAGCATACGAGTAAGGTGGAGAAACTTCTCTCGTAATAATAATAATAGTAGAGACGATGATGTATATCGTCGGTTTTTTATACAATTTCTTTTTTTTTCCTTGTATTTGTGGTATCTCTCGAGTGAACGTCATTTTTTTTGTCCCTATTACTCTAGTGTACACAAATCTTATTTTCTCTCTTTTTCTTACTATATGTTCATTATCTATATCTGTAGCAATATTATGCACAATTGCACACATCCATTTACAAATGAAAGAAGAAGTCGATTGTTTGACATCATATGTATATACTCTCCAATACTACTAGGCAAAATATCAATGAGTAGAACGTATGTAATTTTTTATTTTCCCAATAACTCCATATCTACATACAAAAATAACTTTATAAAATAGGATTCAAAAATAGAAAAGGTCAATTAAATCTTCTGCTTCACTAATATTCTGATAAATCGAATTAACTCTATCATATTCAATATTATTATTAGCCACGCTATATTTGTAGAGAAATTTCTTATGAAGTTTTATTGAAACTGTTGAAGTTTTAGTTAAAAAAAATTTAATTTGTTTCATACACTATTCTTTTGTTGATAGAAAAACAATAAAAAAAAGATCATTTTCAGAGTGTACAAAATGTTTTCTATTATAACATGCTAATAGTCAAAATCAAGGTGTCACTTATGAAATATTGATAACTTATCAAAAAAAAAAATACCAAAGTTGACTGTAACAATTATTTCAACTAATGGTAAAGTATCTACTTTCAAACTATCCCTATGGTAACACGTTTTATCATAACAGATTATATGTGTATGAATATTAGAACTGTTATTGGATATATACAAAAATTTTATCTATAAAAATGATATAACTAAGTGGTATTTCATTGCATATATTGAGATTTTGTGACCGTTACAAAATGACAAAATCTAATAATCTATTTCATAAAATCTTTCGTCTTCTATTATATCCGATCGTTGTTTACAATGTATTTTTACTTCAATTATTCAAGAGAATATTTAATAAAAAAAGAGATGAAAAGCAAAGATCAATGATGACACATCAAAAATCAATAAGACAACAATAACATTAAAAACATACATAGATTTAGAATTGATTCAGCTGCTTCTAACGGCATATATCACAACAGACATTGATGTACAAATATCAGATGTTTTTCTATAGCCTTTAGAATAAAGACACAGTTTTTACTTGAGGCAACAATTTCTGCGTTTTCTTCTTTTTTTTTTTGGTTTTGTTCATATGTTTAATTCTCAACATCTAGGATACTACAGTAGATTAATATTTTTTCACTATTCTCAGTGTTTTAATCTATAAATAGAGTTAATTAAAGAGAGAGAAATATTAAAATGCTTCATAAAATACTCAAGTGCTATTATGAATCACTTTTAGGATAGGTCAACGAGCACCATTTTTTGTTCTATTACTCTTCGTACAGAATATAAAAAACATAAATTCGAAAATTAGCATATACCAGACTTCTTTCTTTCACATTCAAAGAATTAATTGGTATGACATAATTTGAAGTATTTATGAGTTTGTTTGCAATAAAATGTAAAGTCAAAAAGTTTAAAGATAATCGATAAAAATGTTTGTTTTTTCATGTAGAAATGAATACTTATACAAAACTTTTAAATATAATTTACTCAGCAAAAACAGTAATGATCAAGAAACATATGAAACAACTTAAATAGATAGATTATCGATTGGATTTTTGTAACAGATCATCTGACAGTATTTAAAAATAACCATCATTATTTATTTTTCTACCAGAATGACTTATATTGATAACAATATATATTACTCAATATTTTCTGTGTAAAAATGAATGACAGATGTACAACTCTCTAAATGGGTGTTTTCTGTATAATAATTATTAGTTATTATTGAAAATACGACGATTTTTAATAATCAAATTATACTCACGTTTGTAAACAGTGACTAATTTTAACGGTGTTTAATTCTTGCTGTTTTAACATTTTAAAATTTTTATTTTAAAAATAACTCTAGTATATAATCACGACAATAATGGTACCATTAAAAATCTCACTGATATAATGAAAAAATAATAGTAATCATGATAACAATGACAGTATCCTAATATCTTATTCGAAAATATTGATCGTCATTAACAAATCACTAAAATTTATTGTTTATTGGTGTAGTATCTCTCACTCTCTCTTGCACAGACACACAATAGAGAAAGAGAAAAGAAAAAATGATTGAAAAATTGTGCAGTTTTTTCTATTTAAGTAAATGTCTGTATATTGTGTAGTACGACTATATACGAGAGATGATACTAAACAGAGAGAAAAAGAAGAAAAACAAAAAAAGATCTCTTTTTTTTCACACAACGTCTATATGAACTATGTAAATCTATAGTCGTTTTTTTTTATTAATAATTATAATTAAGCAGCAGTAGACACAACTATTTTTTCACACGCACACATACACACACACACACACACACACACACATATTGTCGTGTATGTGACGGTCAACGTTTTTTCTTGTAACAGCTGGCTGATGGTCGTTCAGTTTCGTTGTCCTTCTGTTCTGATATATCATATAGTTGATCAACTTTTTCTTTTTGGCTATTTTTTTTTTCAATTTTGCAGAAAAAGCGTGATTTAATTTGCAGCAAATAATGAGAGAAAAATAGCGAACGGTTTACTTACAACATTTTACTTACAGTTAGAATTAAAACAAACATCTTCACTTTCTTAATTGATTAATAGAGCCAAACTGAGAAAAACAATAAAACTAAATCAAAAATTTTCGATTTTTCATGCACCTTTCTACGAAGAATCTAAAGTTATACCTTTTTCTTTTGCGTGTGAAATTATTTTTTCGAGGTTCATTCTAATCAAGGAAAAAAATTTCAGATCGAGTCAGATTTGGACTCGATTCTGTCTTTGATATGGAACATCGACTTCCTATAGGTATAGAGGTCTCGCTAAAAATCTTAGAAAATTTTTTTGCTTTAAATTATAGATTTTAGGAAGTGGTTAAAATACACAGACAATTATAAAGGAAAAATTATGACGAAGTATTTGCTAAGTGAGAATTTTGTCTTTTCGGAAGTTTTTTCTGAACAAAAACTTGAAGAATATTCATCTTACGTCAACTGATAAGCCGAGTGTTCTCGCATTCAAATACAAACTGGGCACTTAATTGTCTAATATTAGTTCATTTTGGCCTCAACACTATCGTTACTCATACTCTAAATTAACAACGCAATGGACTAAATTAATCAAACTACTTAGTGTTTATCTCTCGCATGATTTATCATGTATACTTAAGGTTTGTATCTGTCTGATCATTTAATATGACAGCATCATCTATGGCCGCTATTACACATCTCATATACATCTGTACATGACAGTTGTCAGAAACTGTTCTCATGAATTAACCTACACAACTACGAAGAGACCTCCAATAAACTTTTGTATCGGTTACTTAGTTCTGTTAGATAATCTACAAATGTCTTCTCTCAGCACCAGTGGCAGGGTTCTCAGTCAGGGGGATGCTGGTGACTTCCTGAAAAAATTTATGAACTTTTTTGGCAAAATCTTTAACGTTTTTCCATCAGCAACTTTCTGCCCAAAACTTCGAAAACCACTTTCTGCGAAGCAAATTTTTTAGCCCCTCCCATCCCTAAGAACAATTGGAAACCCGGATTAGTGGGAAATCCAGACATTTTTTCTTTACTATGTGCGGTATGTCTCGGTCGTTTTATTCTCTTTTTCTCAGCCAGCTCTACTGGACAAAAATGAATCTGTTATGCTTAAAGGCTAGATTCCCCACTACTCCACGGAGAATTTGATTTCATCACTTGTCATACTAACCAAAAATGACACAATAAGGCTATTGATCAACAAATATTTAAACTCTCATCATCATAATCTGACTCATTTCTCTCATGAGCTCTTGATGAGTGGAACAAACCATCATTCCTCTTTTTGTTTTACTGATATTTTACAAAAAACGTTTTTTGTAAACATGCATTTTGTCTGCATGCAAAATAAAATGTTAGCTCAGTTCGGTCATCAGGATAAACAATAAGTCTGAATTAGAATACATCAACGATTTCAGAACAACATTTACGAAAATAATAGCGGTCGATCCATTCAGAAAGTAACAAACAAGATGTTTATTCTAGACCTTTGACTTCGCTAATTTTTTTCTAAACTAGGATTAATTATTGCAGATTTAAAATTAAATTATCTCAATAACTATTTTTTCGTGTACAATCGCTTTTCGAATTGAAAAATGATTTGTATTAAACTCATCTAATGTAAAACTTACTCATCTAATGTTTTGATTAGTAACCGTTGACTCTCTTCTTTAATTCTAAATAATTTATGCTCAAATGCCGGTTGCAACAAATCCCAAATACGCTAGAAAAAGCACAGAAACATTTTAATTTAACTGTTTTTGACATCATTGAAAAACGACGAAAGGAATACCTGGGCTGTAAACATTGACATTAATTTGATTAATAGATTTGATGCTTGATCCCGAATCTTAAATATATAAACAATAAATAAAAACTTTTAGGATTGCTAAATAGACAAGATTACAAATACCTGATCTTTAGAATCACCCAAACGATCAATACATGCTTGAACAACTATAAGAGAAGAAAAACATATGCAGTGGAAATAAAACTTTGGCTCGCCACACTTACCATCATCGACATAACGTTCAAATTCACTGTCCAACCTATCAGCAAATGCTTCCAAAGCTCTTAAACCATTAAAAGCTATCTAAAATAAGAAACGATGAGTTTTTATATGGAAAATTTTAAACATAAAGTTGCACATACTCTGTAATTACTACATTCAACCCATTTTAGTAGACCACTAATAAATCCATATGTATCCTCACATTCTAATGTATTATTTTGATCGTTTAAATATATTTCTAATTCGGAAAAACATTCCAATCGTTGATTTGGCTCTTTGGACACAACAGCCGAATAAAACTGATCAAGATTATTTGATTGTTGAGTTTGCGATGTATTTGTCATACTATCACTTAAGATTTATTAAGATGAAATTAATAAAATATAAGACAGAACTAAAGAACATTCATCTACCCTACAATCAGAAAGAAATATATTTCATTAGAAAATACACAGCTCAACTCGTATGCCACTTACCCATAACTCCGTATGTAACACAGTACTGCTAGCTGTAATCGCGAATTGTAGAAGTAATGTTGCTTTTCAAAAAGAAAAGAGAGAGAAAATTTGCTTGAGTAGATAAACTAGAAGAAAAGATATTCTGGAAAACCTCCAAATTATATCCTCAGAATTGTTTACTACAACAAGAAAACGGTCTCAGCTTGCAAAGTCATCATCGTCTATGAGAAATCATCAATACAAGAGCTTGAAAGGCTTTCTTTCAACGTTAATACTGCAAGACAGCTAAGCTATACGTCGTGCAATAAACAAAGCTTCTTGAAGAATTGCTAATATCTATAGCATATTAACTACACGGTACACTTAGCAGTTGAAAGCAAAAACGCAAAAACGCACAACAAAAGAAAACAGACGAATGAGAAGTAAAACCGATCGAGTATCTACAATTTTGAAATCTAAACAGCCTAATGTATCGATAAATGCTCATCCTCTGGGAAATAAAATGTAAGAATTTTTTTCTTGACAGCCTGGACCGGTGAACGGCGCTCCAGTACGGTGACCATACAGCATGGATAGTAGCGCTTCTCCAAGCAGATAGAAGTTATCTTTCAAGTTCTCTTATTTTTGACAGATTTACATACAATTAAGTGTTCTCAGGCGAATAAAGCACTCAGAAAAAAGCTTCTAGATGTGAGTGCTTCAAATCTGTTCCTAGTAGAGGTAGGAAATAGATCTGCGAGCGAGAAGTCGAAAACTTGGAGAACCGTGGCGGAGGAGTGATCAAGATAAGATACAATGACAGCTTACAATGATTGTTCATGGTATGTTATGCTATAGGAGAAAGTGTTTAATTAGGAAATGCTCCATCATATCACAGACAAAAAATTAAAGTTCATTTAGAGTTAAAGAAAAGTGCTTTTTCGTATTCAGCAAAATTTTCTATTTTTAGCGAGAGGTACCGCCAAACTTAAAAGTTTTCGCGAAAAACTTTTGTCGTGAGTTAAGCCCGAGATGTTGTCTTAGTTATTATTGTCACATTTGTTCAACTTCAACCAACATGTAATGAGTCAGCTCGATTTGTTGGAAAATAAAAAAGTTTAGATTAAACAAAAATCATATAAATTATAAAAATACACGAATAAACAGATTATAGATTATAAAAACACGAAGTTCATTGTGAATACGACAATGCGAAGAAAATCATATCGATTTCCGACAATTGTCGAAATTGTTGACGATTTTGACAATTCGATAATACTGCGAAAATCTGTTGGAATTTGGATTGTCGAAATTTCGATGGCGAAACTCCAACTGGTGATATTCTAGGATATCGTAGATTAATCTTGTAACAAAATTTAGAATATCTGGAGTTCTATCTCCTGCAACGTCAATATTCCTAAAACTTCTATTTTTTAAAACTCAGTTTTCTGAACCTGTTGCTACTTGAGCCCACGGAGAAATTTTTTGAATAAAACCGCGGTTAACCGTGGTATACAAATTCGCAGCTTTTGCCGGTTTAAATACACCGTGGGAGTCAGACCGTTTATTAGGTTTTTACACACCGGCCGAAATGGCGGTTTTTCATACCGCGGTTTTCAGCGGTTTTGTACAAAAATGGTTTTGTTGATGTTATCGCCGGAGTGTGTTCGTTTTCCGTCCTTCTCTCTTTCTTCATTCTACATTTGTTTCTATAACTCTGACCGAGGTTGCCCCTGTTTTTACACTGCATCCACTGATGTTATATCTTACCGATCTAATTGTTTTAAGTAAGACACGTGTGGGTGATGACTAGGGATACGAGATCCTAAGTAAGAAAATCAGAAAGACCTCAGAAAAAGAAGTTCAACATCAGAAAATCATAGACCTTTAAGGAAAAAAGAGCAGAAATGAGGCAGAAAAAGTTCCAAAAATCAGAAGATCTGGGATCTTTGACGATTACTATCCTGGCGACACCCTCACCCTCAACATCTTCCTGGCGCAAAAAAATAAATAAAAATGCGGCTCCGGTATATATATACAAATTTTGAATAGCGGTACGTATACAATAACAAATGTTCAATCTTTTGGTAAAAAGCTTTTTTGTTCTGAGACTTCGTATTGGTCGAAAAAAATGAGTCACAAAAACACATGTGTTTCACGCACGATCGGTGAAGTTTTATCTCAGTTATTTAAGTTTAGCTTTTCTGTGGTTTTAAACAAATATATTCTGAAAGCTGAGCGGCTAAGCTATCGATTGGTAAAAATATGTTGCTTGGAACACTATTCGTGCTGAAATAAAAAGATTTTTTCTGAAAGGAATGGTTTTCCAAAAAAGGGTTCTTTGTAAAATCGAGTTCCCAAATTTTCCCAATGCCCAATCTTGATGGAACTTTCAGGAAATCTTCTTCTATATATGACACGTCTATCCTGTTGACATAAAATAGCATAAACGTTCCTAGGCGGAGAAACAGATTTTACAAAAAATCCTGGTTTTCCACAGGATTTTCGCCAGTTTTTCAGGCTACACTCAGTCTTTTTTCAACAATAATAACATATTCGGAACCAGCGTGAAAAACTGCATCGAATGATATATACCTTACAGCAGTTTTTGGGGAAAAAGTTGGAAGTTTTCGTGGAAGGCTAATTTGAGGCAGCACCGTGGTGTTTGAGGCCGGTGGTTTTTATATCGTTAGAAAAGAGATCTGGAGACCTACAAATAATTATTTTATAGATTTCCGAGTACGGCTCATTCAATGGGCGTATTTAAAAAATTTTAAACTGGTTTTGCAAAGGTTTTCTATAGACCCGATCTCTCGAAAACTCTTAAAACATGAATTTTGAACTTTGTAAGTGACTCCGTTAGAAAGAGCACACTCGAAAACCTACAAAAACATATCTGAGAGATCTTTTTAATGCTTTAAAATCCAATATCCACTTGCCTAGCGAAATTGCCCACTGTGCATAACGTTCCAATTAATCGCTTTCCATTTCTTGAAAATTTCTCAAGAAACCTCGCTCTCCGAAAAACGTTTACTGAGATGGTTGAGATTTCGATTTCATCATGTTTTGCTCGGTTTTCTCTTCAGGAACATGGTGCAAGCAAGTTATATCACTCACTTCAGGCTCAATTAAAGAGTGAGCTCAAAACGAATACAGAGCAATTTTATTTCTTTATCTTTCTTATCCAGAAAATCCTCCCTTGGTTCACAGAAACTGTGTTTATTTTCTTTTATGAAACTCTATACTTATTGCGGTGTACAGATATACAAGAACCTTAAGCCATTCAAAAATAAATATTAGCACAAAGTTGATAAATTGAACTATCTTCACATGTAAAACTAAATGCAAACATTTCTAATAACCATTTCTTATCTTTATCATTTTTAATAACAAATGCTTCACGTTGAACAATTTGATCGTACATATGTGCAACACATGGGATAATAATTTTTGAGCAACCGATGATGGAAAGTTGTTGAAAGTGGCGAATTACATTTAGTATGTTTTTGAATGTCAGAATCATATATGATTGACTACGTCGACCTACCGGTGGGTAAGACAATACAAATACATAGTGCAACGCTCTTTATCAAACGTTCTAAGTTTAATAGCAACCTAAACGATTTTACTCTTGTACTGAATATTATAAAACAAAATTGCTTTGTTTTTGCAGAATTACAAGAGTGACTTTTTTAACTTGAATTCAAAGTTGTCTACTGACTAAAGTTTAGTCTTGTACATCGTTGGCGTTACGGACCACACTATAAGGGTTATGCGCATATTTTGTTTTCTCCTTTGTATCGTTGTCTGTTATTAGTATTTTTCTCAAGAACAATAAGTAGTGTATTGCAACTTCGGTGACGAGTACAGAGTTATAGCAAATATACCCTTTCCAGGCATGGGCGAGTCCGAGTCCGGACTGGAAGATTTTTTGGCGGACTCGGACTTGGACTCGGACTTGAGTTTTTGTATTTCGAGTCCGATCGATTCAAGTTTTAACATAAATGAACACTAAATTTTTTCTTTAGTTTTATTGTTCTGAGTTCGATGCAGTTCAACGACGGTCTACAGCTTTGCATTCAATATCAATGTATGAGATATAGATTATAACAGATTAGAAATATTGCTCTCTCTAATAAATTTTAACTACTGCAGCAGCTTGTTTTAAGTTCATAATAACAGTCCGAATGGGAACACAATAGAAATTAAACATTGTGACTTTATGTCTAACATGTAAAGCTGTTATATAAGCGAAAAGTGGAGATATAAAGATACTACGCGAAAGAGCACGTTTTAAGAAAAATAATCTATCTCAACTGGCATTGTTAAAATGTAATAGAAGTTTACTTTAGTAACTTTTTCTGTTTCAACAAGATTGATATATTAAATGGCACAGAAAAAAAAAGAAATGAACCACAATCATCAAAAAAGAATCTAAAAGATTACCGGACTCGAAATGGACTCGGACTCGGTCCTTTATGTTAGGGACTCGGACTCGGACTCGGAATAAATTTTTGAGGACTCGGACTCGCCCATGCCTGTAAAAGACATACTCATCTTTTTCATTTTTCTTCTTTGGGATAATTATGATAACACAGCTATTTTTCATGGGGTAATTATGATACTCGTAGGTGTGGGCTTCATCTATGAGGATAAGGACGAGTTCGAACAAGCATTGATACACTTACAATAGGCATCAGCCATCTGTCGTTACGTGCTACAACCTCAACATTCCAACCTTGTCAGAACTGAGCAAAAAACCGAACTACTGTGAAATCCTCCAAAGTGAATATTTTGGGACTAGGCAAAATCGTTCACTATACGGCGATCTTACCAAACCAGAAGGACTTGCACTTCCAGTGATGGAAACACATTATCACTCCTCTCAATGTCACTTAAAATCATCTGTCTATGAAAGTACTAAAATAGTAGGAAAAGTAAATAAATAGAGAGAACAAAAAGCATCTGTACTGCATAAGCACACGCATGTGTCGGACATGGCCGCGCACACGTTCATTAGGTTCGCCATGACTGATAAGTTGTAGCAAAATATCAACAAATTGTTTAATACTCAAACAGTTTTTAAGTCAAACGCATTTAACAAAATCAAAACTTATTTTGCGTTTTTCGTAAGACCGTTTTTTAGCTTCAAGGCTTTCGCCACGCACAGGAATTCTCGGTAACTATATAGCGGAGAAAGTAATGTTTTTTTCTGATTTGTAGATAACAACTATAGCTAGGACTTGACAGAGTCCGACTTTTAAATTTTGCCATTTTACTTTTTATAGAAATGAAGATTTCTAAGAAGCCTACCAAGAATTTTTTGGTCGTTGTTGTGGCGCTCTTTCACGAATAGTTGTAAGTGACGCCAAAAAAAAATGTCATTACCAATTAAAAAAAATCTATCTCTGTACATCCTCTATGATGTTGCTTGTCTTACATTGAGATTATTATTAAAACTACTGTCATCCAGATATTTTTGTACCATGTTAGAATAATATTCATATTCTTTAGAGAATATATTTTTATGATAACGATATTTTAGAGAAACGATAGATAACCAATACTTAAGTTCATCTTGACGAAATATTTCACGTACACGTAAATATTGATTGTTACGTTTCCATGCAGTTAAATCTTCTACTTTACGAATACAACAACAATAAATATAGATGGATTGTAGTTGGCTATGTAACTGCGAAAATAATTCGTTTGTATTAAAATCAGATGATAAAAAAAGTTTTATTAAATGATTTTGATTTATTCCAATAAACTGATGTAACGTAGGTAAATCATTGAAAAACTGAATATGAGGAAACTCTTCTTTCAGAGTATCAGTATAAACCTGAGATGGATAATAAAAGGCTATCAAATCACTCATTTTTATTTTTGAAACTTAAGCATACTGTAAGCCTGTTTATATACATTTCTGTATAACAAGTAAAACCAGATAACAAAAGTAAACCAATAATCATAAATCATGTGTATCTATTGGATTAAACAGCGATAAACGGTACTTCTCAGCTTATGTGCATAGTGTTCGTTTGGTTTTTTCCCCATTGTACTAGGAAGTTATATCAATAAGTGTGATATTAGTTCGTTTAACAATGACATTTTTCTTTTTCTTTATTCAAAACAGAGCTAACAAGAGGAATACTGTCACGTATAAAATAAAAAGAGTGTACTACCTTCATTGAACCATACCATGTTATCGAAATCGGACGAAAACCGACAGTTAACCACGGTTATTTTAAGAACCGACGATTAACCGCAGTTATTTCAGCTGAAACCATAGCAACACAGCACAAAACCCGACGCTTAACCTCACAGTTAATCGGAAAAACGGTCGGCTAGCTGCAGTTAACCGAACATTTTCCTGCTTAATTGTGCGATTCACCGTCGGTTTTTGTGCTGTGTTGCTATGGTTTCAGCTAAAATAACTGTGGTTAACAGCTGATTCTTAAAATAACCGTAGTTAACCACCGGTTTCGACAACATGGGTCACTACTGTAGCGCACTGTAAAAATACTTCGATATGTAAAGAGTTGGCAATAAAAACTTTTTAACTCTTTCTTAAAGTTCTCAGCAGTGAGCTAGATCACAATAAAAATAACTGCCGCTATTATACCAACCTTCCTATTGATACCTATTGATATTCCATCTATAAAAGATGTTTATAGACCTTTTTTCTTCGTAGCTACTAGAAACTATTCAGAATAGAAAATAAGATTTTTGATTTCGATTTTAGAAACAAAGGTTTTCAACTGAAAGTGTCCTGAAATCCATCTTTATAGAATCCGCTAACTGGCAAGATTTCTGCCATTCTGTATAAATCATCATATTGGTTTTTAGCTGCAAATTGGGTGCTGGCAGTACATATGTTGCATGGTTGCTTGGTTTTGTTCTTTGTCTGTTATTAAGTGTGTGCAAATTATGCACACCTCATTTTATTCAAGGTAAGATCTTTTTTCCTTTTCTTCTGTTTTCTTTGCTTTTTACTTGCTATTTCCCTCGATTTTTCGTTCCTTTCATTTTGAAATCTTTTTTAGAAAGAACAGATTAATATAACTAAACGTAAAACTACAAAACAGACTTGTGTCAGTTGGAAAAAACCAACTGTAAAATTGACACAAAAAGCTTGAAAAAAATTAGGGAACAAAAAAGCTAAACAGCACGAGTTTTCATCATTTTGTAGGGAAGACTTTTCTTCATAAAATCCAGTATATCTTGAGATTATGAAATAGTCTGAAATCATTTCGAGCAAATTATGAATCTTTTAATTTTACCTGAAAATGGTCCAGCTTGGGTTATTTCGCCTAAAATAGGTTATCACTGGGTTTTTGAACTTTCTTCCGAAAACAAACATTGTCACGAGACTCAGCGTGGTTGGTAATCTATATGGTAGTTAGTTCTACGGTTTCCAGACATAACTGAAGAGAGTAGGTAGGTCTCAGGAAAATGTCTACCGTCTGAGAACCATAAGAAAGAGAGAGAGAGAGGTCGATCTTGCGCAGAATTATAGAGGACACTTTGGACTATACAGCCATTGTATTACAATTGAAAGACGATGATGTTTCAGTATGGTATCGATACCATCTTCAAAATTCTTAAGATGCATCAGCGAAAACCGAGATTTGTCGTGTCTTTTATGTGAGAAGATAGAGAAAAGTCTGCTCTACAAAACTGGTGAGAATCCGGGCTCTTCAACTCTTTTTATTCTCGAGTTATTTCAGAAACATTCAAGTCACTTTATTTTGAAATGGATAGTACAATAAAAAAGCAGAAAAGACAATGTTTTAAACATTTAAAAAAAGCGTATGTTAAAAATATGTAACATTCTCAGTATTAAAGGGCAACAGTAGATATAAAAAAAGTACAATTGCGACTGCAACATCCTTAACCTGACTTATTATGATTAAGAGTTTATAAACTTTTAATCATGGTAAGTCAAGTTAAGGATGTTGCAGCCGCAATTGTACTAAAGTTTTTATAAAAATATGTAGCAATCCATACTGACAAATAATAAATGCTCATATTGTGGCCTATCTATTGTTCATTTCTAGAGATAGGATTTTGTTCACCATTTTGAAAAAGATTTGGACTTAATTTTTGTAAATTTTGACTTGCTAATCGGTAATATTGGTTTGCTAAGCTTTGATCATTAGCTCTGAGACTTTCAGCTGTAGCTACTAGATTTATCGTTTGATTTAATCGAACTTGAAAATTTTTATGATCCATCGGATATTGTTCATCGATTTTTGAATATTCATGACGTAAATTTGAATCACTCACACCATACGTATGTATGACAGCAACTTGTGGTGTTTTTTGTAATTCGTTTAATAATTCTCTATCTGATGAAAAATTAGCTATTAAATATACAGAAATTTGTTTATTTGAATTTCTAAGTATATGACTTCTTAAGTCATTAACGTTATCACAATAAATAACATCATCTATATGTACAACAGGATTTGGATCACAAACAATAGTAATTCTATTAAGTTTATAATTATCGGACATTAAGCTTTTTAAAAACAAAAAAGAATACCTGAGATTGTGTGTGTTTTCTTCAGAGTAGGCAACACATTTTCTGTTTACCTTTAGTTACGAAAAAACAATGAAGAAAAAAAAGCAAAATTCATGTTATACTAAAGAAGAAAGGTGATAAGTAATAGGAAATAATATTAAAAAATCTAGTAAAACTGTAAATAAAAGCTAGAAATATCAATAATGTTCATCTAGTAACAAATCCTTTGCCTTATTTTCAAGTACGTCCAAACTAACGAGATCAGGTTTATCCTTTTCTGGATTATTGCAATAATCTTTATTACAACAAATAACTATTTTGTCATTTGTTTCCAGAGGCTGACGTCGTGAATTGGCACCAAGGATCACACGTATTTTATGATGTTTCCAACGAATTATCTATTCAAAAACGTGAAAACTATACTAATTTTTGTATGTCACTCTACTGTCATTATTGACATCTGTAGCATAAAATAAAACTGTACGTCATCTTGTAGTGTTACTTGACTTAAATAAACAGTTGTAGAGCCAAGAAAGAGCGCGATTGGGGACACCGAGGTATTTATCTCAATTTTTATCGGGAATTTTTCAAGAAAATTATATTTGCATCGGCATAGCGTAGAATGAAGGTATTTATCTATTTGAGTCTCTGATCGATCAAGCAGCGTCTTCTACATTCTCAGAACTTTTTGATTTTGAATTTTTCGAGAAATTTCAAGTCAAAATCCCCTGTAAAACCTGTTCTAAGTATCCTATAAATCACTTTTTTCGAGTTCACTACAGAAGCAGAAAGTTCGACTCTGTCAGATGAAGCAAGTTTCATTAATGATCAAAGAAAAAATTTATTATTGCTCTGCAACACAACCTAATAGAGAAAAAATTGGCTACATTTCATTTATCTAATAGAGTAATGTGTGTATGATGTGCACCTTTTCATAAAAAGATAAGTAAGGTAAGTTATTTCTTTGTTTTTCTGATGTTTAAAGATTCTCTTTGTCAAAAAGTTCTTACGTAAGGATGCCGTTCTTAATCCGCGTAAAATCGTGCGTATTCTATTTAATAAGAAAATATAATCCGTATCAAATGACTTGTTGTGTCTACTGCAATAGGTAATAAGTCATTTCTTCTCTGCTGGTTATTCAAATGTAAGAAGCACTTTGTGAAGGAGAACATGCTAATGATAATAATGGTCTTTCAATCGAAAGTGATGATGATGCATAGTGGGCATTTTTTGCTAGAGCAGGCGGACTTTAGCTTTATGAGTGAACTAGAATTTCATGAACCATTTTTTTATAGGTTTTTCATGATCCTCTTTCTAATGCCATGAGAGTTGGGTTTTGAAAAAGTTTTCTAAGGAGTTTTCCAGAGATCCAGTCTATGGAAAACCTTTCAGAAAAC